AAAAGAGATCGGAGCTGTCTCAGCAGCCAGTTTCCCCGAACAAATCATGCAGAAAAATATAGCGATACAGCGAAATGTCAAAAGAGCAAAGCGCATACTCTTGTTGCATCCGTTCCCTGGAATACTCTGGCCGAGTGGTTGACTCACGGTTAAAAACGAGGGGAAGATTGGAGTACCGCTTGAGACGCGTAGCGACTCATCGACCAGACAAAGAAGCGAGGATACTGGTCTCACATCTTACTAGCTATAGCTGATAATATTAGCGAAAGGAGCGTCAGGAAATTTAAGTGGACGATCGGATCGATCAACGCGAGGTGTGCCACCGCTTGAAATCTCTCTCTTTCTCTCTCTCTCTCTCTCTTTCGAGGCGCAGTAAGAGAATACTTATCGGCAAGCAACTTCAAGGATGTCCACCGCTAATCTTTGTTCCTTCGTGTCCTTAGAACGACGAGAACGTTCCTTCACGTACGCTGTCCCATTCGATTTTATAATCGTTTTCATTCATGAAAGCCTCGTGAATCACCGTCCGAGGCTTCCGTCCGAGGCTTCCGTCTGGTGTCGATCGACAAACGACGGAACGAAGTAATGTAAAATGCAAAAATTCAGTCGCGCATACGGAATGAATACGCGTTCGCCGATCAATGAAATCGTTCGCGGTATGCGTTTAATTAACCGTTTTTCTTACGCGCGTGTGACTCAACACGTGTGATAGGGGAGCGTGCCGACCTTCGACTCTGTGTCTATCATCCGTGACTGGTAAATGGAGAAGGAAGAGTAATTTCGCAATTTCACCGGGTTACGTCGGCATTACGGTAATCGCGTTCCCCGTCTGTACCGTCTGCGCCGTACCTACACTGTGTGTTTGCTCCCTGTAAACCGTGAACAGCGGAGGGGACGACAGGCACGGTACATGCGAAATGGTCCGATTTCCACAAGCAGCTGGTGCAACCAGGCGAACGGATTTAGCGGGTTTGCTCTGATTATGCAACGACATTTGATAATCGGCTGTTTTCATCGCCATTATTCAATCTCTTTCACGTTTTGTCGAAAGTGACAACCAATCGATTCTGTGTCATGATCCGGTTTCACGTTATTCTAGGGAAATTGCGATTTTTACGTGTACACATTTCTTGGCAATGGCTCAGTACCAGCATTCCTTTAGTGAAAGATTTTTTTTTTTTTAGCGTGACAGAGATCCATTATATCAATAGTATTCAATGAAATCGTCCTTATCACTTGTATGCTTCAAATGGCTATTCATTCTGTATACTGATCTTTTATTATCAAATGTACGTTTGCAATAAATATTTTGTGCTAATAACTTTCATATATATATATATATATTTTTATATTATATTATATAATTTATATAATATTAAATATATATATGGAAGTTATTAACACAAAATATTTATTACAAACGTATATTTAATAAAAGATCAGTATATAGAATGAATAACCATCTGAAGCATACAAGTGATAAGGACGATTTTATATATATATATATATGTGTGTATATAGTCAGATTTCAAAATTATTTAATATATATTAATATTCTGCTACCGTGAGTGTACGAATATACTTTCGTGGGATGCTATAGCTATTTTCTATCCGCGATTTTCAAATGTCGCATTTGCATTTAAGAAAGTTCGCTGGGTAAGGTTTTTATTAAAAAAAAAAAAAAAAAAAAAAAAACAACACAATTGTAAAACGCGCATGCTGTGCACTGTCTTTTCCTTCTAATATCTTTTGCCAATTTCAAACCAATAGACACGTCCTGTTATTACAGTTGCACGAATCATCAACACCGTATTTCAACTTCGACAAATAATTACTAACTGCGCTACGCATGACGAAATTTGCGAAGAGGTTCGAATGTTTTAAACTTCTCCGAAAAAGCTATCAATGACTGACCCACCTCAATCACGAGGATTCGGCAGTCTTCTCGATCAAAGAACGCGACACGATCGATCGGTCGATACATGTGTGTAGGTACAACGATCGAGCGGATCGGTGAAAGGCCAGAAAACTAGCCAAACAGATTGCAACCGCAGAGGCACGATTGCACTATGTTCACCAAAGTGAACACACGCGGATCTATTGCGTCCGCCGGCCGATAATGGATCGGTTTAATAACAATACGCCATTTTAACTCGGACGGAAACTGGTTTTTTTAACACCGTCCGGTGGAACATTCCATGTTTCAAGTGTTCGATTTAGGGGACTGTAATTAACCCAAATTCCAGGGTACTGTTCAGTGGCTCGGCCCCGTGGCGTGAAACTCTTTGGCATTACCCGCAGTATCTGTATTTTCCAATTGAAAATGCTTCTCATCATAGCAATTATCGAAAGAAGTTGTAGCACTTGAAATTCGTTTCACCTCTTGCCGTGTATTTGTGACAATTACGTTGACAACGAGAAGCAACAATTACAAATTACATTGAATCGTTAATACGTTCGGATCATAATTATTTTCAAAATCGTTGCCCCATTACACTGTGAAAAGGCGAAACTGTCCATAACAGTCAACATTATCAATCGAAAGTTTCCAGAAGACCAAGGAATCATCGAGACTAGGATTTCTCGTGTCGAGAGAGCACGCTCGGCGGATGTTCGGAGTTCAATTTTCCTGTCAACCTTAAGGCTGTGGCAATCGGTATGCAGATTAATCTCAGATTATACGGAATATTCTAGGGTTTCAGGCGTTTCAGATGTACCAGTTCATCTTGCAAAGTCAGAGTCCCTGTTTCCTGCAGAACTTCTAGGATATCATTCATGAAGCTTGACCCAAATCGCTCGGCTCATTATGACAGCCTACGTGTTAAGTCTCTGCCAGCCACTCCAGTTGTGCTTGACCAACCATGCTTTAACTCGAAATTGTGCAATTCTCCTGCGCTTACCATACCGTTTGGCAATAGAAAAATCCATTTGGGAATGTAAACTGAAATTTTGTAATTTCGCCAGTATCCACGTTATGTTAGAATTATTGCGTCGCTGTTTGAAAGAATTTTATCATCATATGTTTTCGTAGATCTGTTGATGTGGCTGCCACGATTCGATTCGGGAACGATGCTGAACACTTAATGTGAATACTTCGATCTGCAATCTTCAAAATCAGGATCTAGCTGCAAAAAGAATTTTTTCGATTGTTTCTTTTTGTTTGAGACTGTCGAAATAGAGGCTTCGCACATTGAAACGAGATCAAGTGGAGATCGTTATTTGTTTAATTATTTTGCGCCAAGTGAAAGATCACATTTTTTTTCTTTTTAATGAAACAGGACAAAAAAATGTGCAAAAGGTAGCGTCCTTCTTGTTACAAACCCTTCAATTATCATCGTGTATATGTGTATGTATTCTTGTATGCAAGCACTTAAATTTTACCTATTATTTCACGGCTTCGTGAATCGGCTGATTCGATACTTTACCTGCGTCGGAGACTTAACGCGTTGGACGATCCGTCTTAACAGCTTTCACTTTCGTTCACACTAGCGCCGCGTGATCTCGAAACAATCTCCCCGATGGCAGCCTCTCCACTACCAGAATTTTTGGCTACGAATGACCATACGAACCTTGAATTAAAGTAACAAGATCCTAGATCACGCGATTCAAGTCACGATTCTCCGCTTCCTACGTCGGTTCTTCGTGTCGCGTAATTATTTTTTTCTTTCTCATTGAGCTTTGGATGATTCGTTAACTCGCTTGGTAAACAGATTTACTCGTTTTATTAGCGTAGATAAGTGTGACAAGGTTGCAGCCAGGTGATTAAAAAAGGAAAAGAAGGATAAAAATGGGAAGAAGAGCAAAAGGTGATAAAGCTGCTGTGACTCATTTCAGAGATACATAGTTATTATCACTTTGCGAAGTTCAACGTATCTACTGCATACCGCGTGTAATTGATATTGGTTTCAAGTATTTAGTAAATACTTGGATCTAAATCTATTGCTTGATGCAGAATTGGTTTGTTTGAAATTGATCGACTCCATATTTTTTTTTTTGTAAATCTCTTAGTTTCGTCGTTTTTTCATTTCTAACTTCTGGAAGAACAGGAAGATGACGCAAAGATGATCGCGAATTCCAAGGAAATCCTTTGAAAATAATCTTCGCAACTTTATACCGTCTTCTCCATTTTTTAATTCATGGACTCGATTTAGTACAGCAATCGAAAGGCTGATATAAGTTGCAGCTGCTGACCGGTTACTACACCGAAGCACGAGAGATCATGATAGTAGAAACAGGAATCTAATGACTGGACCGCGGATTTTTATACATCTGTATATAGAGAGAATATAGTATAGTACCTGTTATAACTTCCAATGATTAATATAATTCTCCGTTTGTATGAATTTGTACAAATGTCCTTAGATTAGCCAGTGACCAAGTTGTAGTAGGGTGGGTCTTCTTCGTAGAGGATAATAAGCATTCGCGAGAATCAAACCTGAGAGGAAGCATACTGCGGTCTGTCCTCTCACGCATGACCTGGAAACCCCGTTGACCGAGTGAGATATCTTGAAGCCAAACGAGAGGAAAAAAAAAAGTTGAAAGTCGGGTCGTTACATAATCATTTTAAGTAACGTCACGATGTAATCTTTCCTCAGGTTGCTCTCAGCTCTTGTTGCGTTACAATAAAATCAACATTCATTCAATTGTTCCTTTGATTTATGATTTTTCAGCATCTTCTGCGATTATTGGAGAAGGTACATTAGAGCATAATGAATGTAACTTGTGCAACTGTGAACTTAGTCAGCTACAAAGAATTTTAATATTATACTACATGTATTAAATAATATAGTATAGTATGAAATTCTTCTTACCTGATTAAATTCACAATCCTATTTCTTTACATCCCTGTAAAAATATAGAGTATATATTCTGTATTCTACTGTAACAACAAATGATCCTTATAGGAATATATTTTTTATATAAATGAATATTAAGTCTTATTATGTTACCGTTGTATGTAGATGTAATACTAAAATGGTTCTTTTGCTTTTTTATTGCAGAGGTAGAATGCGAAGTATCGAGTCAAGTCGAGTACTCTCTACAGGCGCTCTGGGGCGTTAGTATAAGGGAACTTCATCTGGCACTTTGGAAACCTTGGAGCACCCTTAGAGACGCGTCTTTGAACGGCACTCTCCTTCAAGGCCACGCGCAATATCTCACACCACCACAAACGTATCCTTTTCTCAAATAAAAGATAAAACTGCCTTTTCTACGTAACTGTCTTTTTTCGTCTTTCCAATTTCAATTTTTTTTTATTTGACCCTCAACATACGAAGATTTTTGATCGTCACTGAATTACGTAAAACAGATATACATCTTGCAGAATTTAAAAAATTAGAAAATATTTATTGCAAACGTATACTCGGTAAAAGAATTAGTACCCTATATAGGGTAAACAATATAATAGTTTTAATTCTCAGAAGATTTGAACAGTTACTGGACTGTGTAAAAAGCAAGTTTCTGATGATCTCACTTCAAGTAATGCTAATAAATAATGTAAAGTAATGTTAACAAGGGTTAATTATCTTCTATAATTTGCAAATATTTGTACAACGTGTCGTGTGAATGATACCAATAATAATTCCTTGATCGAGAAATACAGTAGACAACCACACGGAGAAGAAACGTTGAGATTGTCGCTTCCGGCTCCAGAATTAGAACTTGGAACACCTCCTAGACTTTGTTACCCCTTGGTAATCTTCCTGACTCGCAGGGATAACGGAGATCCTCATCCGGACGAGACCGTGGGTATCTTTTAAATATCTAATAAAAAAAAAAAGAACACCGATCATTTTAATTGCTAATCTACCCATGAAACGTTTCAATTTGTTTCTACAAATGCGACGTTAATTGTAATGCGAGAACGTGTACAATGAAATTCAGAGGCGCGATAGACTTTAATGTCCATTGTCGAAGCATAACAAATGTTGCGTGCCTCGATTACAATTACAATTGAACGAACTCGCGATCTCCCATTAAAACAAACAGACATAAATATAAATATTACAATTGATAATTGGTACAAGTTTACAATTGATATTAATTCGTTTCTTCTTCCCTTTGCAAGGTGGCCCTGGTAAACGTTGTCCATATCAAAGACAGTGTGTGCACGTTGCCGACCTCGATCCTGGCGCAATATTTAAAACAAGCGAATGGCCAGTTGTCTTGTCTTAAGGTAAGCCTCGGTATATTAAAATTCCAAAAACTACCTAAAATCTTTCAATTTTTATATGTCGTGTCATATATAACGTAAGAAACAATTTGTTAGTTTCTTCCCTAAAAAGAGTATGTTATACTCACTGGAAAAAGAAGAAATGGTAAAAAAAAAGTAGTCGATCTCTATTTTATAAGAAATATAACAGTACATTTTGTTATATAAAAATTGAGAGACTGTAACATAAAAATTTGTACTTTTGTAAAAATGGAATATTTTAGTGTAGTCTTACAGTTTTATGTAACACAGTGCACGTTTATTTCAATCACAAATTGAACACTACACTCATGAAACTGTTTTTATTGCAGCAACTGTACCTAGCTACCGGTAATTCGACAAACTACGACGAAGGAGATGTGTCTTCAGGTCTAGGTTCAGCTCTGGCACTTGCAGAACCTTGTAACAATAGCGGTAGCTCGGCTAGAGGCGCATTGGTTGCCTCCGGAACAGGCGATCCCGAGGGATCGTTGTGGAACACAGCCGGAGAACAGCTTTGCGTTGTTTGCCAATATTTTCCTCTGTCGCGTGCTCTGTTGCCTTGCAGACATACTTGCATTTGCGCATCTTGTTTTGGCAAATTAGATCGGTGTCCGATGTGCAGAAGCCCGATAAAGAGTTATTTCTGCATCAGAGGCGAGGAGTACATGCCCCTGGAATCAGAAATCAATCCCTGCAAACAGAGGCAATCGAGTCATGGACCTACTCACTGGCTTCACGATTGGAACGACAGACTTACGGATTTCCTCGGATTCGCACGATAGAATACTTGATATTCTAACGAGTCGTTTAGAATGTACAGCGTGCAGAATACCATAAAACAAAGAATGATTGTCAATCGTCTATTGGACTGCTTGAGAGATTGGTGTATTTTGATTGGAGAGTAGTTTTTTTTTCTAGAGTCTTTAATTCCTGTGAATTCGATATTTAACAAAAGGAAAGTATTTGCAATCAAAATCGTTCAGTGAAGGTACAGAAGAAAGAGAGGTAGGGCATTAATTTATGCGGAAGAGAATAAGGATGATATAAGTATAAAAAACTGGAAATTAGCATCTTTATGAAATATTAATTCTTTTCTTTCTCTTGATGAGAATATTGTAGAGAGTTAAATGAGCAGAGTGAGTTGTAGTTGCAAAGTAGATTGCAATGATATCTTATGTTCGTCGTTTGTGCAATTCTCAAAAAAAGTTAGTATATTTTTCTTTTGTTTTTGTTAATCATTTTATGTCTTTCGACTCTGCCTTATAGCTTAAAATGGAGAATGTTATTCTGTTGGCGTTTGAATGATTTTCAAGAATTAAGGAACCAAAAAAAATGGATAATTTATTGACGTCCAGATACAATAAAGTAAGAGAGGATTGATAAAGAAAAAAAAAAAAAAAGAAATACGGAGAAACGTTTCAGATTTTTATCACGCAACATTGTATAAATATTTAAGATGTAAATACAAGATAACAAATAAGACATGTCCAACTTTAAGATGTAATTTATAGAAATAATTAAGTTATTGATATTATTTCATACGATACGCAGATTTATTCAGTAGATCTAGAAACATTAGTTCCGATATGCATGCCTTTAAAGTATTCTTTTCCCATTTTTCTTTTTATCTTATATGAATTGAAAATATATTTTTTCCCCCTTTTGCAATGCTCTACCGTCCATGCGCTACGATGGAGCTAATTCCCCTGAGGTTCAATTCATAACACAAATCACAAAAAAAAAAACGTCGCTAAATTAATTTAAGAAGAATGTTGCGTTAACGTTTAAACTGTAAATACACAGACTGTGATAATTCTAATAATATCTATTATTATAAACCAGATATATGAAAAAGTCCTGACACAAAGGGGAACACAACAAAGAAGAAGGAATTGGTACGAAAAAGGAACACGAAATCATTTTCAGATTTCGCATTTGATATGTATGTACATTTGCCTTTTTTTTTTTACATCTTCTAGGCACTTGCTTAAAGAATGATGATACTCTCTTACTCTGGGTTTATTATGAAATCAAAATTTTATATTTTTCTCATGAAATTTTTTCAAACAGAAGTTTCTTTCTTGTGATAACAAGATCAATTGAAGGATACTTTAGAAATTGATTCAGCTTAAGAGGGTCAGCTTACTGAAAGAATGAGAGTATATTTGGAACCACACATGTTAATTTGAGAGTAAAGGCCTCTAAAGTCAATGTTGTTGTAGCCGAAGATCTTTTCGTATGATAATTTATATTTTACTTAGTAAGCATGTGGCATTTCGATGATGCGACAATGTCTGTATGAGAGAACCTGTATATAATTTATTTAATAAAGCGTATTCATGCTGTCATGCTATTGTCCATGAATGTATGTATCCTGACAATGCAAATACTGTAGAATACCATAGAAACAAATGTTGTGGAAATGTAATCATAAAAGAAAGAATTAATACTTCATTAATTGTTTAATTTTTGTTTAAAATTAAGTGTTTAAAAAAAAAGCAATCGCTTTGATAAATATATTGCTATATTTAGCCTAAGTTACTCTTTGCACATACATACATACATACATACATATATACATACACCGATGGGGATTCTATGGATCGGTAATGTTCGACTATCTTCGACTTTCTTCGGATTATCTCGGATTTTTGCAATGTATAGTAAAATTCAGTATACTGACGACCGTTGGTCACGTTGACGTTCGGCTTTTATATTTTACTGATTCAAATTCGATCTGAACGTCATTTAAGTTACCTCAAACAAAGGAAAAAGACGATAAAGTAACTGCTGCTTCGATCTCCTTTCAAGTATGTTAATAAAACGTGTACTGAGAAACGATCGTCTCAGGATGGTTCAATGAATGGATTAGAAGTGAAAAGGACGCAGATTTACGTGCCTTGTTGGAATTAATACGAAAGTCTACATCTTGCAAACCGGTACGTCTCATTCGCATCCCTTTTGTTTTTTCATGAAGAACAATTGTTCGTTCCTTCTCACAGAATTCCTCAACGTTGTTAAGGTCTCTTAGTTTGTATAGTGTATAACGTACAAATAGTCCCGATGTCCTTTGCAGACACATGTAAACTCATCGATCAAAAGGGAATGTTTGTTTTGCTTCTCTCTGTCTTTGAGTCTCGAACCATCGCGAAGGTTAGAGAGAACGACAGTACGATCACTTGACTTCGTAAGTTCACGAACTCTTTATCAATCTGTACGTCTGACTCATTCACATAACGATAAAGACAATTTATCCATTTGATTAATAAAAACTGTTTATATGCCTCTGTTCACTACTCGTATCTCTTTTTCTTTTGTTCTAAGTAAAAGGAAAAGTTAAATGTTACATTATGTTTGTTTATTTTATTACATGTTTTTCTTTTTTACATTCCTTAAGATCTCATTTTGCAATTTTCTTGTTGACTATGTTTCTTCAGATTTACTCAAATATATGTTATTTGTATGTAATAAAAGAACTTTATAAGTTAACTAGATATTCATTATACATTCTTAACGAATTTTTAATGAAATGTATTTATTTTTCAAAATGTGTCTTAGATTTCGAAGCAAACATAATTGAAGGGAACAATGGCTGGCAGTGGAGAACTTTGGGTACAGTGTTTTACCTGTTGTTTGATGCAACAAGGGCCAAGGACACGTAATGGAAGACAGAGGTCACATCAGAGGCTAAGGATAGATCGTAGCATGATAGGAGTACCTACAAATTTTAGGCATACTGGCCACATTAGCAGTGGAGATCTCGATATGAGCAGTGCACAATTGTCAAATATTCAGGCACAGATGCAAATGAAAGGAGGCTATGATAATGCATATAGTGTCAAGGTATAACACATAATTATCAAAATATTATAAGGAAAACAAATGTATAAGTCTCAATGTCAATCATTTTCATTTCAGGCATGTTGAAAATAATTATAGGACATTCTCAGACTGCTCTATAAATAATCTTATGAAACAAATAAAAAAAAAATAAAAATGACTGAGTTTTAATACTTATGATCTTTGTGTAAAGATCAACATACATGCAGCTATTGTATTTTTAGAGTATGCTCAAAGAAAATACTTTGAATATGTTTAAGACAGAAGCATGATGAAAAATATTTAATTATCATACTGAAAGTTATTCTCATTCGTAAGAAATGAGTTTACGATTAAAATATTCATTTTAATTATGTAAAAACATTTGACTTCCATGCCACTTGGATTTTAATTTCCACAGTGAAGACTGTATATTTAATAGAAACAGAAACTGCCATATTATACACAACTTCCTTCAGGTTCATTTTTTATTATTTACAATTATTCTTCCATTTTAAAAAAATGTTTACTAATGACATAATAATGTTTAATAATGACTGTTACATTATATGTTAATCATATTTACATGTTCTTTCTTTTTTTGATATGAGAACTTTTACAGTAATAGATTTATCATTAAGAAGTATTAGATACTGTTCTTATAATTGCAAGTGCAAATGTAAGTACTCCGTGTCGCTAAGTAGTGTTTTTGTAAAAAGAAAATGAAATAATGTATTTTGCATAGTTCACCTGTGCTGACTAATGGATAAATATTTTTAGCATATATATGGTGAACGTCCATGTTCACAAAGCACGGCCCATTTTTCCTACTTCTGTATTCATCCCTGAATAGGGTGTATAAATTTACATTAGGTAATTTTCGGAACGTAGATGTGTCAGAAATTGAAAAAATGATTTATACGTATTTGCCTAGTCTATAACCATTCTATTAAACCTCATGAATTATGCTAACTATTGTTTCTTATATTTTGAACTTTCAAATTGTGATCTCTTGAGAATATAACCATGGACCAATGTGAAATGTAAAAGGAAACAGGGGTTCCAAAGAAATTCTCTAGAATTTACTTAACATACTATACTTAGTTTGAACCAGTATAAATCTATAAATTTACTAAATGACTTCGACAAAAATTGTTGATTTAAATTTCTTGAATATCTCTTTATCCCCTGAACATTGCAAATAATTATTTATATCTGCGAAATTTAAATAAAAGAAATAATTCTGTAATGTGTAAATGTTGGATCAATTGTAGAAAGTTTTGGTAAAACAATGAATAGAATATAATTGTAGGTACTGTGTTTAATGTGTAAGAATAAACTCGTGTATTGACAAATCAGAAGTGGTTCCTTTGGATATAAATATATATTCATTTTTCATATTTTTCATAAAGTATATTGTTTCATTATCTTCTTCGTATTATATATTTTTTACGACAAATATATACGAAATAATTTTTGTTTTAATGCAAAATGTTGGTGGAAGAATATATAGGAAACAATATTCTTAAAATATAGGAATCAATATTATCAAAATACCAGATAGTATCACATGATATAATATCCCTATTATAAAATATTTTACAATCGTGAAAAATGTATAATCATCAGAAATGAACTTTTGGATAAATTGTACTCTAAACATATGTGTGTGCATATATATATATATATAAATATGTTGCTTTAAAATAGATTTCACATATCCATGAATAGGGGTGTTGGAAAAATTGCCTACAAGTCGTTATAAATTTAGATCCAACAATTAAGCTGACAAACTATGCAACATGAGTTGTATATTTTTCTTACACACACATTTACGTAAATATGCACATGTATTTATATATATATTGTATTAAAATTATTATATTAAAATACAAATCGCGAGGCTGCAAAGAAAGAAAAAAAATATACATCGTTTTTAAGCTTTAACATATTTCTGTTCGATATGTAGTACTTAATCCCTAGAATGCCCCTCGCGATTTGTTTTTTAATAATGGATATATTACGAATGCATAGTTGTTAAAAGTTTTTGAGAATAAAAGGGATATTAATGAATGCTGTATAAATGCTGTATTTCAGTTTATAATGTCGATTCAGACATTTATTTATTTCCAATAGGTCTTTTCGTAGATGTAAATGGAATTCCTACACCCATCCTTGTAAACGGATTTCCGGTAAAGACTGCATGACAGCAACAACTCGATGGAAATCGAAAACTATCCGGAACAATGCTACCGTCTTCCAATACGGATGCCAATTCTCTATAAATGTATTTTTGTTTACAAACTGTTTTGTAACCTGCAGCAATTTCGCCTATCACGCTGCAGCTGGCACCCTCAGTTCTATAAATCATACAAAAACATTTCTATTATTTCTTTGTAAACTGTAACGTTTTTATATCTTTTAGGAAATTGTAGAAAAATAATATTATCGTGATATTTTACGATGCACTTACCTACACTTCTCAACCCGTACACCCTGTTTGAAATTTTCTTGATTCGCGATAAATTTCCATTCCTTGTTCTTGTTCTCCCCCGATTGAGGATATATTACTTGCTCCTTAAATAGTAAAAATTTTCATTTTCAATTGTGTGTTACATTTATTTTTATAAGAAGATGTTACTGGTGTTTATGCTTACAGTAGATATGCAGAGAGGTATTGTGTCGTCCGTTTCGATCCTTTCTCCTATATCAACCTAAAGACGTGCAAACTTTGTTAGAATCAAAGAAACTTTTTCTAATCTTTAAAATGTTGAAGGAAACTGCATACTTACTACATCTATACCAGCCAGGTATCTAATACTATCATTTTTTTGAAGTGCTCTGTTCACTACATCTTCGGGATAAGATTCAACTGTTTCGCAATAAGTAGAACCTTTGCAAACAGGCACACGTCTGCTGACTGTTCCCTCATCAGGGAATACAATTTTGTCATTTGATTGCCAATTACGTTGTGGAGAATCTAATGAAACAGAAAAGATGCAATTTATTAAAATATTAAAAATTAGTTTTACAATGGACTTTTAGAGAATTATTTCATCTTTCGAGTTATACTGCTTTTCAACTTTTCTTTTGAAAGCTATTGTTTAAAAATTGCAAACATACCTTTTCTTCGTGTATTTGTGATTTTACTCTTAAAAGGTATATTTAATCGAGTCATAGTCTCAAGACCTGTAATTCTTTCAGCACTTCTTTCATTCGAATAATCTCGTTGTGGATGTGCGTAAATCTGTAAAAAGTAAAAAACGGCGATTTTAAAAAAATGGCTAGCCATCTTCTAAAAGTAAATATTTTGTGTAGAGTCAATCGAAGTTACAGATACATCATAATTGTCTTCTCGATAAGATATTGTTATTTGAAAAATTACAATAGCTTCTTGAAATAATATTATTTATTTATCTTGCTGTTAGCTACACATAAGCTTTTGTTCCCTCTTGTGTTAATAATTTGATTAATGAATTCAAGGAATAAGATTTTTTTCATTTTTACTTCTTGTTTTCCTTATTAAACACATTGTTTCAAGACAGGATAAACGAGGTGTAATCAATAATTACACGTTTTTTAACTTTAAAAATTTTAAGAATTTTTCAGAATCGATGTAAATGTAATCGACGTATCGAAATTATGGGCAATATAAACATCCAAAAAAATGAAAAATACCGTCTGACAAATATAAGATAAAGGAAATTTTAACGATAACGAAGAACTCATAAAATACACGAGCAATACTAGTAATTTATTCTACAAAAGTATTATATCATGAATTATTTTTTAACACGAGTCAAAAACATAATAATTTATTATTCTAAAGGAATGGTGAGAAAATACATTTCTATTCTCTATCTTAATATACAAATAAAATAATATCACGCGAGTATATTGAATATTCGTGTGAAATTGAAAATTAAAATTAATATTTTCATTTTTTTTTCCTTAAATCGTTAATCTAATTGTCAATGATAAAGTAAATTACATCTTAACTTAAAAAGAAAAAAAGGAATGAATTTCATTCCTATCTTTTGTCAAAGTTCAGCAGAGAAATGACAGAATGTTGATACATTAGTTTGATTTGATATGAGTGTACTCTCGCTACTAAGATTCTATTACACGATAATATCAAATTGCGGATTACGTAAATACGATGAACCGTTCGTCCAATTTCACATGCATTTACACTGTTCTACCACGAGCGTAATATTCAAAAATAGAATAATTTTCACCGGCACCGGGTAATTGTATTTTTATTCACGTTGCAATAATATTTTCTAACCGAGTAACTTTTTTTTCAGACGACGCGGTTGGATCATTTATTCGCAGTCGCCAGTCAAATTTCATTAATAAACGGAAGGAAAATACGACGATTATTCCCGTACCAAGTATTAAAATCGAAAATCCATCGTTCACCGGAACGGAAACGGTAATGTATAATTTAAGCAAATATGTAGCTCGTGCATATAAATATCATTTTCTAAATGTCAACAAAATATCTGATTTCATCTAAAAATTGATCTTTTACCAATGCTGTTAAGAAACAAAGTCCGACGAGTATAAAAGTCAAACTATTGTGTCCTTGTCCAATATCTTTACTGTTGAAGGTCATCTTGTTTTTGTTTTCTTTCAAATGTAATCAATCGGTTCGACACTTGATATTTAATAACTGACGAAATTCACACCGAGTTCACACCGGAGAGAGCACTTGTATTTTTAATTTTGTTCATTAGCACGCGTCTGTCGTGTGCCGCGGAGTCGCGAGTTTTGATTGTGTATTCTGACACGCGTACTTGTTTCGCACGTACAAATACTGTGCCGAGAAACAAACCGTTATCAAACGTACACGCAGCAGTATTAAACTAAACTGGAGGAGTGAAGAGCAAGACTGAGTCTTCGAATGGTCGCCCGACGATTTTTATACGTTCGACCGATGGTACCTGATTGATTCTGTTCCTTCTTACGTACCCAGGGATCAGGACTAATAGGTGGGGTTCCATTTGTATTGCTTGTAATATCCCAGGTAAGCGACTCCTGCGATGCATTAGTATAACAGTAATACTTTATGACAGAATCCATCGGCTATGTCAGCCGCTGACAGTAGTCTAACCGTCAATACATGCTAATGCATAACAATTCGTACTGCGCACCGAACTAACGTTTTCCTTGCCTGTATAATATTTCATTTTATTCATGCATAATTTTCTTGAATTTATGAATCTATGAATTTGTATTTTCTTCCTATGCGTACGCGCCAAATTAATGTTCTACCTGTGTAACATTGAATTTTGTTCGTTTCTAACATTCTATTTAATTTTCTTCGTGTCCTATGTTTGCACTTTTATTACGCGCCAAATTAATATCTTCCGTGTCTGATTATTAATATTTATTTTGTTTCTTTTTTTCAGAAATTTTACAAATATATTGGTTCAAGAACAAATTTAAATTTAAATATATATTAAATAAAAGAAATAATGAACCAACGGTATCTGTTCAGTCGTCATTAATAAATGGCAAAAAAGTTGACCTGAGTAACGGTGTCTCTATTATCCATATTTGAATATGGCCTGCGTATTCACATGGCCTTTAAGTTAAGTAAGTACCTCTATCCGTCATTAGACATTATAAATCAAACATTGCTATTGATATTTAGGAAGCTGCAAATTTTCTTCGTTTTCACAAAACTTTACTCATTTACCGATGGGTTTTATAGTTTTATAACTCGAATATCACTTTAGGGAATAATAGTAAATATTGTAAGCATTGTGAGTGCAAACTAAGAAAGTTTGAAATTTCCGAAACGTTTAAGCTAAGTAACAATGAAATTTTAAGATGTATTAGAATTCCGTACTAAAAAAGATTAGCTTTTCTTGGAACTGGATTTATTACTGGAACAGTCAAATTGGTTCTTGCAGCGATGTGACAGCGTAAGGACACGCTTGAGATCAAGTAAATTGAGAACTTTATATGTGAAACGTTAGTTCAATTTCAATTACAATAATGTCCGATATAAAGAGTGTTTTATGTCTATTATGTCAGCATTTAAATTTATCGATCAACGTTATGATGAAACCTGAGTATTTTAGGCTAGCAAAATTCAATAGCATGGCCGAAAATGTCGTGAGTATTATGCCCGATATCACATAACCTTTTTACAATATGCTTTAATAACACTTTTTAATATCTATGAAATAAAGATTTTTAGTTTGTAATCTTCTATCTCTGTATTAGGCTGACGCGTTTTGGAAAGCATTGAATATCTTGGGACATCATGCTGTTAAAGAGAAGCAAATTGAAACTGACTTTAAACAATATGGTAAATTTTGTTGTTCATTTCAGTTGATGTTAATATTTACAAGACTGATCTTTCTTCTATGTAGATACATTAAGGACTACCAAATTGTATTTTGCTTATTTGCAATACCCAGCAATAGAGTTTTATGCTTTAAGCGAGAAGAGTAAAAATAACAGGCCATTGTTATTAGCATTTGCATGGCTTCTTGGAACACAAGATATTCTGAATATTATCATTCGAATAAATCTGTCTAATAGTGTCCTAGGAAGAGAATGTTCACAATTGAACAGTGTAGAAGTATTTAACTGAATATGAATAAGTTAAAATATCAAATGAAAGATAAATCTACAATTTGCTTATCTTTTAGAAGAAGGAAACACAGTATAATGTGCCAGAAACATTCAGCGCACAAATAAACAATATATTGTACTTGAATGGTAAAGTAAATTATAACATAAAAGAGATATCTGAATTGATTTCTCAGAAGGCTAAATTAGTAAGCAGAATTCATGCTGCAAGTGTGAATGTTAGTGGTCTTCCACATGTAAGTGTATCAGAAGCGGCACTGATAAAACGTGTCTCAACCACTAACAAAAATGCACTTTCCAACGAGGACAAAAAATATATAAAGGAATTATCCACCATTGCTAGTTTATTAGATGTACATATGAAATGGTCTAAAAAGAAACATATATTTTTTGAATGGATGGTAAATCAAATGGGTTATATTATATTTATATATTTTATTATAAGAAATACAATAGAATATCCAACAGTAATAATAAAAATTACAGGTAACGGTAGTTCAAGAACACAATAAATCTGAGCGCCAATTAGAAGATATAGATTGGAATGAAGTTTCAAAAATTGTATCTTTATTACATTGTATGACTCGAGAAAAGTTTGAAATTTTGTCATCTCAGAAAGAAACCATAAATTGTCAAGACTACGAACCCAAATGTATTTCGCGTTTGTTAAGGGTCCAGGGTAATAATACAGAAATAGAAAGCTGGCTCTCTGAAATATCTGCTGAATTGGCCAAGAAAACAGAAAGTTTAGACAATGAAAAGGAGAAGCTTTCTGAGAAACTAGAAGAAATTTTGGAGTCAATTCCTCACTGTGTTCAAGTTTCATTTTCGTAGTAAAATAAAAATCAGTACTTTCTTACAATTTAAATATAAAATTTATGATACAAAACAATTGTTCGTCATTAATTCTTGCTTTTACTTACAATTCTAGATATTACATACAGATCAACAACATTGAATGACAAGATGAAAACATAAAAAATTAATTTTCTCATAATTTAAAAATACAATAATACAATTATCCGTCATCATTTTCACTAGCAATTCTAGATATTACAGGAATCACTGATACTTGATCAACAACGCCGAACGACGAGATAAAAACATTAAAAATTGTTACTAGAAATATACCGATCACTGTCCAATTATTAGTTCGCTCAGCTTTGCACATTTGAGCATCGTCTTTAACATTATACCTGCTATTCAAGATCAGTCCTATTCCTATGGCAATTTGTAATATCAGGCTAGAACCTATTAGCACCAAAGACGGATAATAGTATGGATGCCCCCCGTCAGTTTGTAAGACGTAACGCAATTGATTTGCGTTGGCAGACAAAAGAGCCAGATCCATCATTCCTTGTGCGAGCGTTTTCTTGTGCTGATAGATATTCACGTCAGGTATCGGCTGAATAGGCGGCACTGGTAAAAATGGGGTTCTTGGAGTTCCCGGTTCGCTTGGCAGAAGACCATCGTCAATTCCTATCCGTGGTTCAAATCCTATGGGGAAATTTCCGCCTGGTTCAAGGTCGTCGATTTCTGGACCGAATGTAGGCCGTGGATTGTTTGTATTGTCTGTTTCAAGCATGGAACCGGAACGCGATCTAACATTCGCTTGTAATGGTTTAGAAACCAATGATTTCGACGATTTTTCGTCATCGTTGATCTCATTCATGTAAATAATTTCATTAACTTTATCTTTTTGTGGAACCATAGTTTAACAACTACAACTTTTAACACGTTCGGTCAATCACTTTCAAAGTCAATATTTTTCAGATAACACAGGAATTATAACGAAAGAGAACACGCCTGGAGATAATCACTTTCAGCAAGTCCCATGGAAGTTCCAATAGCACCTCCTTCTTTCTGATTTCCTGGCTTCCTGGTAATACTTCTTTCTTTCAAAATGTAACAGAACGAACAAATGAGACATGAATTAGAATTGCAAGACCAGTTTATATTATGTACTCCTCTTGAATCTTGATACGATGCACATTCTTTGCATCTCGCGTTTCTTTCCTTTGTACGATAAGTTCTCGTGTATCACGGGAGGGCTTCGACTGACAACACGTTTAACTGAAATCTACTTGAATAGAAGCGTTTTAATAGACTGCAAATTGTTCATTCATCAGCTGGCGAACTAGCTGATTCATGTCCGTTGTTGCGATATCACGAGGACGTCAGGTTTTCTCTCGGATAGTGGATTTACCATTTGTCTCAAGGCTGTTGCTTATTGAAATCGTTCAGTTACACTGTTCTTTGTACTGAGAAAAGTCAGTTCACTTTGCTGCAATGAAAGTGCAATGAAATTGATGATCACTTCGTTTTTTTTTTTTAAGAACAATCACTTTTCAACAAATTTCTATAATCTATCACATATAGCTCTTTGTTTAACTATATTAGACGTTCTTTTTAAATAATTTAAACAAAGTAAAAAGAAATGCTGTAAGGTTTGCGTGCAAAGTGCAACTGCCATGTGTTTTCTAGTTACATTTAAAGACGCGCTCTGACGCTTGATGCCAAGGTTTTCCGCGATGGGAGGGGAATGGCATTGCTCCAATGGAATCTTGCGAGATCATCGATATGCAGCTATAAATAATATGTAAATTTTTCCTGGGTAATTAGTGAGATACGAAACTTTTACTAATTTCCCAAAGAAATTACGAAGAAAATACTTGTGGAATTCTAACAATAACGCAAGATTATTTCAAGTTTTTAGCCTGTTCTAAATATATATATGAAAACAAGTTTTCAGATTAGATTTTATTTTTGTTTCATTTCATTGGAAGACCATAATAATCGATGTACTCGGAAACGAACGTTTTAAATCTGCAATACTGAATAACACATATAAAACGGATTCATCGTATTTTCCAGTCGTCACTGGTGATCCCCGCTTCGGAACACTCCGAATCTGTTACAGCCACACGCATACGTTTAATTGCATTGTGTAACGATACGAAGAATCGTAGACTACTTGAGAAAGTTTTCTGGTCACGCGAATTCACCTAACGTGCAAAAGATTGGAGACGCTTATTTTACCGCGTAAAGCAATCTATTCATACGATCTTCGCGCTTCTGAGAGGGAGCTGAATAATTGGCAAGACATTTTAAAACTTTAAAATGTTTCAGTTTTTATATCCAGAGATCGTGATTAGATAGCAGAATTGAATAATTTCCCTGTTGTTCTTAAGGTTGTCCTCAATTCGGAGATTAATCCTCGAGATATTCTCTGAATTCTAAAATTATACAGACGAAAATTCGTTTCGTATAACTATGTAGAGCATCGTGATTATCGAGCTACCCCGTTGTCAAGTAAACAACCATCCTCGTTGACTCTCGGATAGGAAGGCAACATTCCTACAGTCATTGGTTCAAGCTGAGCGCGGAAACTGATAGAGCCGAATTTCGTAAAACGAGATGTTCGACAGAACATCGAAATTCGAAAAACATTTCATTGATATTCTTTCATCTAAATAATTTGCTGGAATTCACCTTCGATTTAGAACATTATGTTTATGGATGCTTATCCGAGAAAAGGAAAAGGAAATGATAAATATGAAGACTCAGAAGTGTTGCGCTCACTGTCCTGGAAAATTAATCGCTTCAGAGAGCGAGTCACACGCATGCTGTCAGCCACGATACGTTTCGGGAAATTTAAGAATATCTTCCTTGAACAAGAATGTGTCAGACGGTACCAGAAAAAGAGACGTTAAGGAAGATCTTCCAGAACCACTACCAGAGAATCGATTAGCCTGTTACGATCAATTCGCCGTAGCGAAGAAGCTTCATGCAGAGAATTTGGAGCATCAACCGCTTCCCGATAGAGTTGACGATTCTGTTTTTAAAAACGTCAAACCACAAGAACGTTGCGATGCAGTTCCATCGAGAAAGTACTGCAGATATTGCGAGCATGAAGTGGAAGATCGTTCTACGAGCTTGGCCAAACGCTACGGGCCAGTTTTGGGCTGTAAGAAGCCCAAGACGAAGATGGATTTAGCTATTTGTTGGGAAACTCCATTAAATCCAGTTTATGAACCATCTAGGCCTACTCACATCGATGGCTCAGAAGGTGGACTCGCGCCAGCCATATTTACTCTTGTTCAACATGGTTCTAGTTCTAGGCTCGTTCATTCTGGAACCTCGAGGAGTGACAAGGGTTGCAAATGTTGTCGATGCCACTGCAAATTACAGGAGGATTCAAATTACTCGAGAAACAAAAATAATAAAAGTACAAAGTGTTGCTGCGATTGCCTTTGTAAAGGCTTGAATGAAATGAAAGTTTCGAAGAAAGTTCAAGTCGAAGAACGACCAACCGCAGGACATTTCAGAAAGTGCGTTGCCTGCAAGAGTCAAACAAGAAATACTCGCGAAGATCCTAGGTTGATCAAATCAGCTGTCGGATTGGCATTGGGTACCGAAAAGCCTGGGAGAGGTTATCAAAGAGGCGAAAGCAAGGCAACGATATCGAAATCAAAATCATCTTTTACTAGGAAGTCCTTTTGCATCGACACTCTAACTCCCCCGTTCAGTGTAGTCAATGGATGTAGAGATGCTGATTTTCCGGAACACTGGAGGCTCATGTCGGTTTATCAACAGTCGTATAAAAATCCTTACAGACGGAAAGTTTATCGTTGTTAATTTGTAGCAAGGTAAATTATGGCGAATTTTCTATTTTATTCTATCAACAAATGAGAATGTTATGCGAGATGAGAAACACGCGTGACAAATTAAAATTAAAAATAGAAAGTAACATTTGGATTTGAAAACTTGAATATTCGAATTATAGAATGGATGTTTAACCTGTAACTAGTACTTAGAACTACATTTTTTTGCTTTTTATGTTACTTATGTTAATGTACTGCGACGTAATAGGAGTTCCTAAATCTTGTGCCAAGTCCAAGAAGAGACTTTTGTTCAGATGTTCGAGAGCAACATTTTGCAAACGATTCAAGAGATCAGGATACGGCGATATGAACCTCTGAAAGTCGTGGCGATATAATACACAGATCTCGCTAGTTTCCACTGCCACTACAGTTGCTATTTTGTGTTCGGTGTCCATCACCAAGGCGATCTCTCCGAAATAACTTCCGTCTTGCAAGTGGCAGACCTTCGTGTTTCGGGCGAATAAGAAATATGAGAAAAGAGCTGATAACAGTCGATGAGGAATTACGATAATGTTAACGTTACTTCTTTTCCCATTATATTGTAAACTGCTACGGTACCAGAAGAGATAAAATACAAAGCTTCACCGCGAGTACCAGCTTTAACGATCTCATCGCCAGTCATGTAAATCTTGGAGTGTAATGAATTTGTTAATTGCACGATCACGGTGTCCGGTAAATGCTTGAATAATTCTACGCTATTGATCAGTTTCAAGTAATTATGCAAAATGAGTTCCTGGAAGGTAAACTTTTATTATTAAAATACTTGATTATATATTGTTTTCTTTATATGTAGGACATTAAAAGGTATTGTTGATTCCGAATAACCGTATCTTTTTATTATAATTTATATAAAAAAAGGTATAAACCTCTCGTAAATACGGCGAGACTTCGTCTATGATTTTTTTGTTTCTTTCGAAGCTCTTTCTGTTGCGATAATGATAGTATGTTAATAGACGACGCTGTAGATTATATGGAAGCTCTTTGTATCGCATGTACTCCTGTAACTGTTGTATTATCTTCAGGTGGCGCTTGATTGTTATGTAAAACGTCGTCATTAGTTGAGAGAACTGCGCTATAATAAATAGATTTACAATTCGTTTATTCGAAGAGAGTACATTTTGAAGACAGGCAGATGCTTACTTAATATATATACGTTACCAAGGAATCCAATGATCGTTAGGATCAGGTTTAGCACGATGTCTTCGTGCGTTTTCACATTTAAATAGTGAGCAGAACGTACAAAGGTGATGATCGTACGATGTAGGCACACGAGATACATTTCTGCTTTCGTTCGTTTATTTAGAAAGTACGATGACTTGACCCAAGAGCTGAACATAAAGCCATAATTGGCCAAAGAAACGAATTTAATAAATCATTAAATACTAACTCGTTGCTCAAAGTGCCTAATGTATTTACAGACATGGGGACGTAATACTGCAAACAAGCTGCCCAGTGAATGCACATTATCACGACCGTGCACGTCTCTAGAATTTTATGCAATTGAAAATTTATTCTATACACCTGAAATCACGAGATCGTTTTAATCAACTGTTTCCTCATCATCGATCTTCAATACCAAGCACTAACATCACGGAGTCTACTGAAGTAAACAAAAATATTGCGGACTCTCAATATTTTCATCATGTTCAATGTAGCACAGTACCACATCGAGCTAGGTATAATATAATCGATGATTCCTATGGGTAACACGGTCAATATGTCTATGAAGAAGTAACTTTGTAAGTATTTCCTATATACAACCAAAAAAAGTATAATTAATATTGATATAACATTCGATTAGTGTTATGACTTATAAAAATTAAAGTACCGTGCTACTATCATCGGATCAAGAACAGTGACTTTTGTCCGATAGTCGTAGTAACCAGTAAAGAACCATATAACGATATCGCAGAAGAACACCACATTCATCATGTCATTAATCATATGCCAGTTACCGTGTTTGTCAAAGAAAAATGTGATTAATACTGGAGCAACCAAAAGAGCCACAAATGTAAATGCAATCATTAACGATTCCCAAACGATCCTATGGAAATTCGGATCGTATTTTAATAAGTGCAAACTATCGAAGAAGAGATTTAAAAGGCAATCTGAATCAGCTGAAAGGATGTGTCGTGCAACGATGTGTTTCAGATGTACACACCATCAAAGGAAGAGATTTGAAAGGCAACCTGAACGAGCTGAAAGGATGTATCATGTAACGATGTGATTCCAGATGCCTTGAAATTTCATAATTCACTGCGGTTGTGCTTTTAAGGCACCAACGGGTCAGTGGGTGTCTTCTAGATAAAATTCGTTGTTTTAAACACCAACGATTCAGTTTATCCCAAATCCGGTCTCCTTTTATAATATTCCTTATTTGATCCTGTTCTTGCGGTTGCTCGCAGACATGTTGAATAACTGGAACATGCTATGTAATGTGAAAGTTACATTTAGATTTGAAACAGCGTTCATAGAGTCGTAATTGATATAATGATTGAATTATGTTGTTCAATTGGACGAACTTGACCGATATTTTAAGATATTCAATTTACCTCCACGTTTGGCGCTTCCGAAAAGTGGGGCACATATGCCATTAAATCCATCTAGGTTGTTTTGACAGATCAGCTGATCAGTAGATATACCGTCGACGAGAAAATGGAATGATATCTATGTTACGTAGCCGCAAGCTTCTTAATAATAAAAAAAAAAATTAGTAAATCTAAAGATACGCTTTGTTTATTACACACTATGTTAAAGAGACTTAAAAGTTATATATATTTACACAGAAAATTATAGTTTACTTGTACAATACAATTACTAGATTCAATCAATATCCAGACTCAACGCAAAGCAATGACGAAATCAAAGTAAAATCATGAAAACTTTTGTAATAAATATTGTAAGAGAGGTCTGGATTGTTATATCTATGGCGTGATTTTAGAAAAAGCACGTGACTATCGTTGAATCAGCTGTAACACATCTAAGCAATGGTTCGGTTGTTGCATATGATATTTAACAAAAAATAACAAATTGAAATCCGGATTTCCGGATAGGTATATTATTCGTTAGAACAAGACATTTTGATACGTTATTTTGATAATTTTTGTCATGGCGATAGTGTCCGACAGCAAAATTCACATCAAAAACATGTCAGAATTTGGTAATTTTCAGTTGCCTGTAGATGTAAGTTTCCTATTATTTTTCACATTTAACTTAATTGTTTGTTTGTTGTTACATCATTTATATTTATTTCTTTACATAATGACTGTTTGTACAAAATAAACGTTTATGATAACCTAACGAAAAACATTTATTAAGTATCAGTTTATGCAAAAATCTGAATTTATTTAAATGGTTTTACATTTTTTCTTTTTAACGATTAAGGAACAAATTTACAGTGTGATAAGCTGCGTTTTATTTCTTTAGAAAGTAGTGATTCTTGAATTTCGTATTCTGTTTAATATAGATAATGTAAATTTATTGACTAGATCCATTTTAATTTTAGGTAATTATACACGTATTATCATATCTGTCTACATCTGATAGGTTGGCAGCAGGATTAGTTAATAAAACATGGCATGAAGCATCTCTTGCCATGAAGTTTGTGGATCAAATAGAATTGGTACTTGGTCGACCACGTGCAGACAATTTGAATGAAGTGATAGAACTGTTACAGCATTCTACAAGACCATTTTATCACTTTGTTTTTAGAGAAGTAGAATTAAAGAGGAATATGCCAATTTGGGATCAATATGGACCTCGCATGAAAAGTTTAGCACTGGTAAAATTATTTTAATTAAATGTGAAATATTATTTTATTAAAATGAGAATATATTTTCTTAATACTATATTAATTTTCAGTTGTGTTGTGATTTAAGTGAAAAAACATTAGTAGAAATTTTTAAATGTTGTAAGTCTTTGAAAGTATTGCGTGTTAATGCTTGCAGAGAATGTCTAATGTCTGGCAGGCTTCTAGAAGATCAAAATGACATAAAGGAACTTTCAGAAACGTTTAAAAATGTTCATGAATTAGACCTTGGATATAATCGTTTTTTAAGCGATGCACTTTTTAACAGATTAGTTGCCACATGCCCAAACTTGGAATCTCTAAGTCTCATGGGTTGTCAGATATCCTTTCATTGTGGACTGTACAAGAAATTTTATCCACAAGTATATGACTTTTCAGATGCTTCAAAATCAGTGCTGACTTTCTTGAATACATTACAGTATCTCAGACAACAAGCACATAATCTGAAGTATTTGAATTTTAGTTACACTTTAATTGACGGAACTGCTTTAGCTACTTTATCAGCTTTACAAGATTTGAGACTGGAATCTTTGATATTACAAGGATGTTATCAATTAACTATAGAAGGCATTAAAGGTCTGACAAAGTATCAAACTTGTTTGAAAGTCCTTGATATTAGTTTTTGCGTGCGTATTACAGACGCCAGTTTATTCTGTATTTGTAAAAATTTGACAAAGTTGGAGGTACTTAGAATAAAACAATGTCGTGCAATAACCGATATTGGTATAAAGTATATTCAATTATTAAAACATTTAAAAGAACTCGATATTTCAAAAGACGAACGACTTACTGGCGATTCTATTACTCATGGTCTTTGCTCTAGTTTTAATATAATAGATGATAACAATATGGAGCAAGATGTTGATGAAAATATTAGTTTCATTTCTTCGCAAAAGAATTATGTCACAGAAGAAAGGATAAGAAAAGAAAACATGCGAATATTATCAGCAAATGCATTGAATCTTCATGAAGAATCAGTTGAATGTATATCTAAATCTTTCCCAAATTTAAGGCAGCTTGAGCTTAGTTACTGTTTTAACGGCGTTACCGATAAAACAATACAGGTATGCGGAGATAATTTTATTACCGTTATTTTATAATTTAATATCATAGGAGATTTATGAAAAGGATATTATTCGTTAGAAACAGACAAATAAATAATTTTTGATAGATTTTATGCTGATCATTTTCCTGAACTTTCAGGAATTACTAAAACTTAAGAGAGTCGCTGTAAATCATAAATTTTTGTACCAGCGATGATGCTCATGCATATAAAAGTAAGTTTATCTTTTATAGATGATATTCAAGGAGCTTGTACATTTGCAAACATTAAAAATAAGCCATTGTGATGAGGTCAGTGATGCTGGCTTAACGGGTATGGGTACTGGTAACCATGAGTATGTCGAAAAAATACAAGTTGTACATGAACCAGAATTTACAGAATCCAGATTAAGAATCAGTTTACGCTCAAAGGCCGAAGAGGAAATAGTACGTGACGCTGATCGAAAACGAGAAATAATGCAGCTTTGCGAAAATGTATCAAAGCCTTTAAATTCGTTTTCCGGATATTCTTTAATCAGGCTTAAATGTCTCCAAGAACTTGATCTTTCTGGATGTAATAAAATTACCGATGTCAGTTTAAAACATGCATTCGCCTTTTCAGAATTAAAAGTTTTAAATTTGAGCCAATGCCAACAGGTGGATATAACATTTACACAGTATATTAAAATTATTTGCATTTATAATTTTATTAATCTTTTGTTATAGATTACACATATCGGATTGGATTACTTATCAAAAAATAATCCAGCAATCGAATACTTAAATTTAAACCGCTGTTATAATATATCTGATATCGGCGTATCTTATCTTGCACAAAGGTTGCATAGATTGAAACGACTTTTCATTCAGGTACTTTTATAATTAAAAATTAGCTTCTATTTTTATAGTTTACGTTGGTGTTTTCTCTTTATAGGGATGTTCACAACTCACGGATCACACTCTCGATTCTATTAAATTGTACTGTAAAAGTTTATATTACTTGGATACACGTTATTGTCGCGGAATGACAGCAGCAGGTATTGAAAGTTTAAGACATTTATACATCGATTGGCATAAGCAAACAGATGCTTCTGCAGAAAGTGAAATATTACCACCACCTGCTCCGCCTTTACCGTCATTACCATCTTTGCCATAGAGACGGCTTCAATATTTCCTTTCGCATTTCAAGAATAGGATAAGGGAAAACTGAAGTATTACTTTAAAAGCTAAAAATAAATATATTACGATAAAAAGATTTAATTTAACAGAAAATTTTCCAGACGGATGTTTATAAGAAGATTATATCGAGGTTTGTAAAATATTTTAAAATATTTACGTAGAAATTTTTGATTCTATATGTATAATAACGCGAAGAACAAGAAATTACAGTATATCAAATATTTGACAACGATTTGAAAAATATGAAATGTAAGATTAAAAACGACTATTCATACTTATAAAAAATTGAGTGATAATGCGATATTAATTAAGTGCAATAAACCAGCTATAATATATAATTTAAAGAATTATATAATTTTTCATTAATTGGTAAGTAATTAAACAGTAAATGATATTAATAAATAAACAGTAAACGAGTAATTAATTTATGATTTTGTAATGAATTTTATTCTGCTTTATGATATAACTTATAATTAAACTTATTAATTAGGATAGAAATAATACAAATAATAATTACGTACAAAACTTTATACATGTTCTAAGGACTCATCGCTTTTTCTGATGCTCATAATTCGAAATTACTGATATTCGTTGTATTTTAAAAACTTAAAAATTTTTGTATATTAAAATAAAAAATTTACTAAAAATTCTTTTTTGAATAGATAACTGCAATTGAAATGATGAAAGTATTTTTAAACAAATTTTTGTACATAGAATAACCTGCAACCAACAAAACTATAGTAATACTAAAATTTGGATCAAAATATTTTTATGGAAATGCTGCCATTAAAAAATAAACGTAATAAAATAAATGTAAATATAATTTAATTGGACTTGCAGTAAAGATTATATCAGTATCATTATATAAAAAAATAATATTATTCAAGTATTACTCTTTTCAACAAATTGTTCAAGATATTAATGTTTAAATATATTGTAATAAATGCTTCGTTAATATACTGAAAATTTTTTAGTATTTTTAAATAATCAAAATTTCTTGAATGGTGCGTTACTGTGCACAATTTGTACAGAATATTTATATAGGGATATGTATATAAGATGTATTTATGTAAACAATGATCTAAATTTTATTTAGAAACAAACAAATTTAACATTAATGATAGTTTTAATGATGGTTTATCTGTGTCGAATAAAGTAATTTCGATTAAAATTGTATTTCTCTAAGACATTATTAATTAATCAGTTTTTTAAATATAGATATATATTTATCACGTTAGTTATAGGCAACAGAATAAAGTCAATTTCCATTTGTGATATAATAAAAATAAGAATATAGATATAGAATTTACATGATAGATGTTGATGAATAAAACTTGCAAGTTCTTTTTCTCAATGTTTTCCATTCAATATTCAGATGTCCGTTTTAATTTATTCTTTAATTTTATTATAACTAGTATTTTTATAATTAGTAGTAAAACACGCAATTCATGATCAGAAAACGAAGAATCGTTACACGTTTGTAATTAGTTCGATCCTATCCTTTTGTACAAAACATTTAATGCATCACAAAATTGGATACCTATGAGCAGTGTAGTATCAACTATACTTCTGTATAGGATACATCATTTTGATTTTGTTACATTTTTAGTTGTAATTTGATCTTCTATGGGTAAGTGAATAGTCATTTGGAATAAATAATTTCTAAAGCGTGTATTTAACCAAATTATAAAAATTTGATTTAACAATTCGAAACAAACACTTGAAATTGATAAAAAAGAAGTTAAAAAAGTTAGCTCATAGAAGATCAGTAACAATTTTCTTTAAATATTCCTAAAAAGGCATTCTAAAGTTTTCACATATTGTATTGTAAATTAACAGACGCTTAATAATTATATAATAAAAGTAATATTAACACATAGATAAGTAATGTAAATGGGTTAAATCTAAGAAACTATCAAATGTGTTGAAGTTATCTTTAAGATATAGAAAAAAAAATAAACTACATAAATGTACGGTTGACACTTCACTGTATATGGAATTATATAATATATGCTAAGTTTTTTATGAACTTGTAATGCAATATAAACTTTTTTTCTTGGCAAATGAATATAAAAAAAAATCTACTCATTACTAAATTAAAATAACATGTTAATCTGAAAAAGATTATAGTGTACTATTCTATTTTTATTATTTTCTGATATACACAAATTTGTTTTATCTTTTTATCTTTTAAAGATTCAACATTAAGATTTCAGTGTTCGATGAAAGGTATTTATAACTTTGAACTTTCTATTGTACACAAGTTCACATACATTGTGTATCTGTGTGTGTGTGTGTTTGTATTAGTATGAGCAAACAATTTTTATTCAAAATAAAAGTAAATATTTTTATTCTATACAATATAGAGCAAATAGTTAAATATCTCAATTACATAAATACTCTGAATACTTACTTAACACTCTGCTTACTTAATTCTTCTTATATCATGCAAATTTATTTACATAATTCGTTAATGTGATATTTTTATTAATAATATTAATTTCATGACACACTCAAAAGTAAAAAAGAAAGGAAGAGAAGAAAGAAATGTTAATAATTGAATGTACGAAAAAGTTAAAAATAGAGAAGTCTTTTACATAAGAAAATTTCGTATTTAGACACTGAAATCTTAGGTTGTACTATCATGTTTTATCTTTGTTTAAATTTTGTACCACAACAAAAAAAAAAAAAAAACAGTTACGGAAAACTATAATGACGTTATTAAACAAATTTTATACTTTAACGCTTTCATTTTTTGCATATATTACATACATACATACATACACATACACACACACATGCAAAAAATGAAAGCGTTAAAGTATAAAATTTGTTTAATAACGTCATTATATTTTTCCGTAACTGTTTTCTTTACTATGGTACAAAATTTAAAAAATATATAAATTTACACATATATTTGCATATCTTCTTAGTATATACGTCGCTCAATGTAGAATTATTTTATTTATAATCTAATACTGTGCATTACACACACATTATGTAAAAAAATTGTTACTTTTCAGGTGATGGTTTTTTTAGAAAACATCCTACGTTTTTTTTTATCAATGCAACAATCCTGTATGATTATATACAAGTCAGTGAAAATGGAAATTACAGTCCTCTTTTGATACATACACAATACGCGCATTTTCATTCTTTTTTTTTTACGCTATCTGCTCTGCAGTAATAATTTGTGGGATAAATCTTCATTTGCTTAGTTCCTATCATTATCAACATAAATACATTGTTTCTCCCAATTTACAACGTTATATCGTTTGATTCTTTATCTTGCTTATTTTCTTCATTTTCTTCTTCAAGCAATTGTAAGCATGAATCACTGTATGTACTTCTTTAATTTTTTTATATCATCCCCTTCATGTATTAAACTTGTAACAGGATTCACCATAGCATCATACTCGCTAATTAAAATGAAGACATTACCAATAGGGTAATTAAAAATCCAGCAGTCTTTCTTCCAAGGCTAAAATAAAAACACAATTATATATATTTGTGAATGTAGAAGAAAATGAAAGTCTATAAATGCTAGTAATAATTTCAATTTGCGCATAATAGATAAATGTTCCTCAATCTTCTTTTTATATTTGTTTCTTTTTAATTTTTTTAATTAAAAATATTCTTCAGCATGCTTGTAAGGATGAAAAGGAGATTAAATACTGTTAAATAAATAGTTTCGTCACATGTCATATAAACTAAATCATTGAAATATTGATGAATTGAGCAATATCAGGCAATACCTTTATTTAAGTGCAACTGAAATATCAATGATCCTTCCACAGATTTTTCCTATGGTCATTTTTTAAGAGGTACAGATAATTTGTACTTTGCTTTCAGTTAATTTTAGCCTGATAAAGAATATTTTTTTTTTTATTAAGCTACATAAATAAAATAACGAAGTGTCCGATTGCTGTTGAATAATTAGCTGAAAACACATGGAACTAATTTTGTTAGTATAAAAAAAAAGAACAAAAGGAATTCTATATAATTTTTTTTTTTAACAAAAAACGAATGATAAACTAAAATATTCAAGTAGTTGATGCATTCAAAATAAATATTTTATTCTTTTTTCAAGAAGATATATATATGTATATATATATATTCGTACTTTTTGACAACCAATAGTAATTTTTGAATTATAACTTGTAGATCAAATAAATTGGTTAGGATATAAGAAACCTATGTTTACTGTAGATGCACGATTACTGTAGATTCAGGTTTATAGAAATGTAGAAATGAATTAAAAGACATTCATATTTATTTTAGAAATATTTGTTATATATATTTGTATAAACAAGTCAATTATAATCAGTTTCATCCTGTATTTATTAAAACAAAGAAATTTATTATAATCATATCCAATATTTAAGAGCTTATACAAGAAACAAATTGTTTCAAACATATATTTTCTAATATAGAAAATAAAATCTGATACTATATTACATATTATAATAAATATTTTCTGACTATTTATTTCAAATATCTATTTACAAGGTATTTTTTACTTGTTGTTTCTGTAATAAATTAAATCGATAAAATACTTTTCAATATAATCACAAATTTTTTTATAACTTGTTACAATATTCAGAACCTAAATGTGTATTTACAAACGTAAAAAAATTATTTTATATAACATTAGTCGACGTTCATAAATAAATACTAATTATTATTTTTTAGAAAAATCTTTTTCATTATAAAAATATAAAATTCGTATCCGGCGTTTTCTTTTTCTCTTTGTACAATACAGCTTGATCTACAAGAACACTGGATATTGTAATATAATAATTATTTTTCAATATGTGTGATTACTCTTCTTTGTAAGAATTCTGTACAAAAAATACGAATTTCGTATATTTTTTTAAACTATTTACGTGGATGGAATTCAAGCGACACAATAATTCTCATGAATAATAAAATCGTTAGAAATTACAGATGACAAAAATACACAGGAACCTAAGTGATGCATTTAATAAAATTTGTCCGTTTTGTTGCATTTTTGCAATCTTTGTTCGAGCTGCTCGAAAAAGATTACACAATAAATTACGATGTTTTTTTTATATAAGTTATACAGGAACTTCAATTTTACACTGTACAGTAGATAGGAAACGTTAGTCACTATAACGTGCTACTTTATCTTTAAAATAAAAATACTTTTTACTCGAATTATACATATGAAAGAAAAAAAAATTTATATAATTATAAAATTCACCGGCATATGAACAATTTCCTTGTTTTATTTTCTCGTTATTTTACCGATGCTGTTAATAAATAAAAATACGATATATTAATATTAATTAATAATCAAATTTTATCATCATTTTGTGTGTGTGTGTGTGTGTATGTGTGTGTGTGTGTGTACATACATACATACATACATACACACACACATGGTGAGTCTCGTAACGAGACGACCTCAAAAAACTCAAAATATTTGTTGTACGAAAAATTTTTCAGATGGAAGTTGCATGGTTTCTAGGGAGACATATGGTACTCTAATCAGTTTTATGTTATTTTGCTTTTTTATACAATTTTGTTATTTAGTCTAATACAATGTAAAAAAAATATTTTTATTAAGACCGTTAATCTTAGTAATTATGTATTTTAGACCCTATGGTGAAATACTTTTTTATGTAGAATTCAACGCTTTATCCGAATTCGGGAAAAAATATTAACTATTCCATTTAAAAAATTGAAGATGACCTTCATATCTTGATAAAAAAGCAAAATAACGTAAAACTGATTAGAATACCATATGCCCCTCTGGAAACCATGCAACTTCTATCTGAAACAGTTTTCGTACAACAAATATTTTATGAGTTATTTGAGTCATCACGTTACGAGACTCACCCTGTATGTATAGCAGCAAATCCAAAGGATTTTATGTGCTCCTGTTGTTAGTCATTTATTGCTCTCCATAAACCGACGGGATCATTCGATTGACCGCATATGTACGAGACCGCATTCTCCTCAGGTATAAGTACTTTTGTCAGTACATTACAAGCTCGTTGCTTATTTGGTCATCAAAATACACCGAGAGCGACAGAGATAGAGATAGAGAGAGAGCATGCTCATGGTGTCCATCGAGAATAAAACATACTGAAACCAAAGCATTGGACGCAACAGTGATCTGAACCTGCAAAAAAATCTATCCTAAGACAATTTCTTTTTGGAAAGAGGCTGAACCTCGTAGAAGGATAATTTCGCAGAAATATTCGTAATTTGTTTCAACGAAGGTACGTTAAGTGACCAACTACTCGATAAACATAAACAGAAATTCTTTAAATATAATTTAAAATCAATACATAAAAAATTATATTCATTATTAATGTATCAGTAATTATTTTTTGTTATACGATAGTAAAAATGTTTTTTTTTTTAAATTTTTTCCTTTTAATGAAATGATCCCTTATTAAATCTAAGAAGAGATTATTGTGAAACTTACCATAGGAATGAGACTTTATAACGAAGTATTTACATCGTTTGTTAAGGAATTGAGAAGTGAAACTTTGTTATCTTCCAAATCGAGAGGATCCGAATTATAAAAATTGACTGTAGCTGTATCATCTGCTGTGCTAGTTACAGGAGATGTGGCCTCCAAAAAAATGTCATCGTCGAAATCTAATAAGTTTGGAGTAGGATTATATGCCATAAGTTCACCACCACCCGTTCCATTAATGTTTTCTGTAACTGTAAGTACATTAAAGCATACAATATTTAGTTGTGTTCAACAACATTTGAAACATGAACGATTGGAAATTTTACCATTAACATGATCATCCTCTTCTTTCTCAGAATGTGGATTCAACTCGGGATTAACTGGCAGACCAAAAGACATTGGATCATCTGCTCCAAATAACTGCAAACATTATTAATTAATAAAGAATAAAGTTTCGATATATTATTTGGATACTTACGCCAAGAAGTGTATTTGCGTCAATACTTACACCAAGAAGTGTATTCGCGTCAATACTGTAACCTTCGCCTCGTAGAATTTCACGGAGATTATCCAATTCTGTTTGCATTGTTTCGAGATGATTATCCACTTCCTCCCTAGAGAATTATTTAAAGTAGATCAAAATATATAAAAGCACGGAAATTTATCCACTTTATGGATCAAAAAGGAAAATGTTGCAAATCCTTTCAATATTTGTCCTGAAATGTACAATCATTCTATTTGTATCAATGACTTCACAAGCAGATCGATATTTGTTTTCTTTGTTGAATCAAACTTCTGTTTCATTTTTTTTTTTAAATTATGAATGTAGAAATAAAATGGGATAATAATTGTTTTATGACTGTTGCTTGTGGAATCAAGTAATCAAGAAATTCACAAGAAAGAGATTGGTAGGTATTCTGTAGAAATTGGCAATTTTGTAGTGCACGACTTTTAAAATATTTTGCACCAAAGTTTGAAACGAGATGCAGTCTATATTGACACATATTCAAACTAAATTGACCTTCGAAAATTAGCAAGTATGATGAAGAACTAATAAAACAATTAAATTACATAGTAAATTACATTAGTAAAGATCTAACAATCGTAACACCACAATTACCAAATATAACAAACAGTGTATATATATATATATAAGAAACAATCTTTCGAGATATAACACATCTCGAAATTTTAATTAACAATTTCGTCAACTAACAAGAATAATTATTTTGAACAAAATAAATTACATTAACATAGATTCAATTGATGAAAACTTTGTTTTGCATTTGAATCTATATTAATAAGAATTCTTTTATTTAAAATAAGATTTTATTAAATTCAAGAAAAACTGAGTACTAGATCTTTGCAATTTTTTTCAAGATAAATAAACGTAATAAAATTAATAACAAAGTAATTACGATAACTTGGAAAATATGAAAAAAAAAAATGATACCAAGGAATCCTTTACTCTTCAGGTTGTATGGAATGTGAAATCTCTAGATCAAAGTTAACCATTTAGAGATCTAATAAAAAGTCACATATTATTAGTGACATGTTACTTCTAACCTTCCAAATTGTAATATGAATAGAGATAAATTGATTAACTCCCACCTCTGTCTTTTGATTAAGGACCACCATACCTATACTACCAGAATAAGTGGAATGTACTGCAGTCTAGCCATGATCTGTGTTGAACTTACATTGATCCTAACCTGTAAGAAGCATCAGATACGCCTGAGGGAGTGACGCAACTCAATGATAAATGTTTTGAGTTGCTTGTGCCTGCTCCATTACAGCTGACTTTGTCCTGCTCCGAATGTTTCTCAGTACTAGAATTTTTCTTGTTATCCTGTTCAGCATTGCTATTATCTGCTTTGTTAAGTTGACTCAACATAACATCATCTTCATTGGTTTCAGAGTTGCCACTGTTTTCATTGAACTCAACGTTTTCAGTGTCCTCGACATCTTCATTGATCATTTCTGGTACTATCAAAATGTCTTCAAGCTTCACTAGGGTTGGATCATTCTCTTGAACATCTTCGTCTGTTGCAGTTTCCAAATCAAGTTCGTGTTCTACATCAGTGGTTTTGTTCATATTAGCTGCCATTGCTGCAAGTTTTGAGCTGCGCACAGTTGCCACAGGTACTGGCTTAGAAACTGGTTTGTTTCCCAGCAAAGCAATCACCGATGAATCCTCTAATGGCATTTCAAGTAAATGTGTTTCTTCCCTAGAAAAGTAAGGTAAGCAGTTGCCAATCTTCTTTTTCTTTTTAGAATCGTTGTTGTGCCATAATCTGCTTTTAAATACACTTTCGACCACAATTTGGATTGATGGAAGTATTGCAAGAGTATACATAAATGAATTTAAAGCAATGTATAAGAACAAGCTTTTAAATATACAATGAATTAGTCAGGTTGTAATACATAGTAATATAAACTTTTATGAAAAAAAGAAAACTGTAGTATTAATATAAAGTAATGCATATACGTGAAATATATATGAACAAGAAAGTTAAAGATCAATTGTTACTTTTTAATAAAAGCTAATATTCCTTAATTTTTGTGATATCATAAATTTGAAAAATTACTCATTCTTCTATATTTCACTTTATAAATCATTTTTGTTATTCAAATTAAACGCAAATATTTAATGGTCAATTCAGTTTGATTTTTCCTAAATGTCTCTTATATTAAAAAATTGTATGATCTGAAGATCATATAAAATTGTACTTATTACACATATTAGATACAAGTAAATAAACTATTGCGTATATAAACGTTTTAAAACAACATAATCATGCATGGAATAAACCTTAATATATTTCTATTATAAAATATAATACGTTATATTTTAAATATAAAGTAATCTTTCATGCACATATATATATCTGAATCTGCATGAAAAATAGAAGATAAACTTCGTAATGTATTTTATATCACAAAGAAGATCGAGACTATTAAATAAACTATAATGACAATTGCAATATAGCAACAATTATACTCAGAGGCATAGAACATAAATAATCAAAAATAATGGCATAAATGACATTAGTATGAATTATGTGACTAATGAAGAATTATAGAATAAACAATGAAATTAAATACAAACATTTCAACCAAGGATTAACAAGACTTCTCCAATAAAAATGATATACTACTGAAACAATTTCTTCGAAGCTTTAACTTTCTTTGAATGCTTTAACATATAGGAATTATAACTCAAATAAAATTTAAAAAAAGCAACTACTGATAGTTGAAAGAGTTACAGACTAAAAGATTTTTTTTAATATCAACCGTTCAAATAAAGAATGTTTTCAAAGAAGCATCGCAATATTGCCAAACGTTCATGCAAAGAAACTAAGCAAAATTGCGATACTATATAATTATTATTCCTAAAGTATAAACACCAACACCAAATGACAAGAGAAAAATGTTAACCTTGGTTCCTCTCCATTCTCCGTCGATGGGATCAAAATTTTGACCGGCACCTTGTTTTTCCTCCTGGCAATATTTAAATTGCAATGATATGAGTAATAGTTCAAAAATGAATTAATCTTATGAAGTATGAAAAAGAAGTCGTTTATATATAAATTTTCCTGATCTGTGTTTTAGGTAGATAGATATAATCAGATTATGATATATGCACGTGCACTTAATTTTAGTATATACAAATTATGGAATGAATAAAGCTATTATAGTGTGAAACGAAGAAAAAAAAATTATGCCCCTGTGTCTTTTATTGAAGCAAATAGAGTATAAATTTTAATTCCATTAAGTTAATCATTTCATACATTCCATGCATGGAAAATAACTGCAATGTGTAAAGACATATATATTATGATCTCTAATCTTTCTTATAATTTTCTTGGTCTTAGTAAAAAAGACAAGCAAAATAGAAATATAAAAATACTTTTTTGTAGTACAGACATTGATAGTTCTTTGTGTTTATCATGCAAAATCCCATCTTATAATTCTAAAATTGAAAGATTGTATATGACGTGACAGATCATGTATACGTCATTTATATCAATAAGTAAATCTATCATTAGAATAGTATAATAATAGTTTTATTTAACTTACTTCTTTTTACCTTTACATCCACGCTTTTTCTTTACGTCGATTTCTTGTGGATTAATAAGTTGCATATCATCTTGTAGTTGAACAGAATCATCAACTAAATGAACTGATTCCATATTGTTATCTTCTATTATTGATGTGTTATTATGTTCTGGACTTTCAATAGCTGGATTTGGATGTCCTTCTAACATTCTAGACAACAGCAGAATACGATTAGTTTATGTAATTAAAAAGAAATTAATTTATAAGGTAACAAGAGTCACGTACTCTGCAACAATATATTCTGAATCCAGATCCGGTTCTGATGCATCGAGTTCGTGTATTACAGGCCCCGCTGGTGATGTTTGTGACTGAAAATAAAAATGTATTTAAAATTTTAAAAATTCAACGAATTCTATAGTTAGATAATTCTATTCTATACCTTCTGCAATTTTGGCTGTTTACGTTGACGGTTAGAGTCGTCGATCATTAGCGGGTATCTCCTTTTAACAGAGAGACCACCACTTCTAGAAGGCTGTACCAGAGTCACTAAAAAGTGTATAAGCTTATTGACAATTTGCTGTTGCTTGAGATGTTTCTGCCTAAGCATTGCTAATTCTCTCCACAGTGCTTCATTTTCCCTTTTCATGGCCCCAAGTCTTGAATCTAAATGTTCTTGACGACCTCTCATACTTCTTACTTCAGTAAGCATTTTGTTCATTAATTCTGGTTTAATAGGAGTAAGTGCTGGATCTTGTCCTTTACTAGAAGCAATCTAAAACAAGCGTTTTCAATTTATGAGACATTTATGTATAAAAAATATAAAAAATACTCACTTTTCTTTTAATATGTTCTACAAGATACGGATGGCCTTTACAGAAAAACTGATGTGCAAATTCCATTTCATCCCTGTCACATTTTAGGCCACCCAATTCAACAGAAACTTTCTTGTGAAAACCATCTAGAAAATATATGTATGCACATTAGATATAAGCTATATACATAAATATTCTTCTGTACATTATTACTTACACATATTCAGCTGTCGGACAAAACTGGCCATATTATTGTGTTTATAATAATGTGGTAATAATTCTCTGGCAAATTGTGCTTGATTTCTAATGAAAAAACTCCTTCCATTCTAAAACAAATGAATATATATATAATCTTTTTCGAACTGATAAGTTAGATAACGTTTTATCAATATAAATAAAGATAATTATATAATACATATAATACATCTGCATGAATGTATAAACATAAAACTTAATTAAATAAATCATAAAAAATAAATGAGCCAATAAAATTAAATTTATGCAATTAGGAAATAATCATTTAAACAAAATTTAATGGGATTTTTTCATTTTTCTAATGGAATGTAAAAGGAAACATTGCAATTAGACTGTATAAGATGCAGTATATTTAACATATAATTTATTGTTAATATTATTATTTTATAAGCATTCTAAAAAATTATATATATATATATATACAAAATAGATACTGTACAGAATACATATTTAAGCTGTCTTTTAAAATATTTAGTAAAAAATCGGTATACATTTTTAGTATCAGGTCTTCACATAGATAATGTAGTTTTTATTAAAATATTAATACAAATAAAGTATTCGAAATATATGAAGACTTGATCGTACAAAGCAAAAATCATTCTTGTTCAAAAATTATTACACACGTGCGTCAAGTTTAAAGGAAGTAGTTATAAATCGTTTGGCAAACGTTTATTTAAACATCATTTTGCGGCCGATATATTTTGTTAACGCAGAAAAGTTCTGTCATTCGTAGTCTCCAATACTTGACACTCGATTTAAAAAAAAAGAAAAAACGAAAAAGAAAAAAATGCATTTACTGAAATAATGCAGTGTACACACATGCATAATCGACCAAGTAAGCACGGAATAAATTACAGCGATGTCGGGTGTATGTGAAATATAGGTTGTGTACGTAAAAATGTACATTGCGGAGGTCAACGTTTAGCCTACGTTTAATTTATTCGCTCATGCGACATTATCATTGCAAATAAGTAATCGCCGCGTTGAAAAGATACGTCGACCGGTGGGTTGGGATTTCGTATGTGTGTCGCGTACAGAGAGATTAAGTGATTATAAATGAATAACAAAATAAAAGTACATACAGGTGACCAACAAATAAGGTCGTCAGTTTCGGGATCTTCAACCAGTTTCCAAAGCTTGGCAAGGAACGCTGGTACACTCGTACCTAATTCTGGGATCGTATGCATTTCAGCGTCGGTATTTTAATTTCAATCGACAACAATTTTTCAAGCTTTTTAATCTTGAACGAATTACGAAAAAAAACTTCACATCTCACGATAATGGCTGACCGCTGACGATGTTATTCTGCTAGTATTGCTTATAGACGGGACGAGAGGGGGCAATATTTTAACGGAGAGACATGCTCGCTTTTCATTTAAGATCGCAACGCCGCGTATCGAGTAACGTTAGTTAAATACCATTGGCAGTTTCTACCCGGAACTGGCTTAAACATGGCAAGCTGATCTTCATTGAAAATACTCCTTGAGGTTCTGAAAAATAAAGTAGAAGATAATCTTTTGAACGTAAGCGGGAAATAAATTCGAAGAGTTTAATTTTTTTTTTCTTTTCTTCTTGATGTAGTATAAGATTTAAATAAATATTATATTATATATATATATTAAATATTATATATAATAATAAAACGCAGAATAATTTTTTTAAAATTTTTTATATTCACTTTTACATAAAAATGATTAATACTGTGTGTATGTATGTTGTATGTTTGTACATATCTTTTGATATGTAATTTGGTAATACTTTTTACAATACGCATAAAAAGTTTACACAGAAGCTTATGGTTTTCTTATAAAAGATTTTTTCGTAACTTAATTCTAATATTGTAACAACTAAAACATTGCTTAATTACGCAATACACATGTGTATAACATATTGCGACAGATATACTGGCAGACTAATATAAGTAGGAAATAATAATAATAATAATAAGAAAATCACATATAAACTTTTAATTAATTAATTAATAACGTCGGTATAAAATTATTAGCTTCATAACAAAAATTCAACCAGTCATATATACAAAAAACAAAAATACAGTCCTTCCAATGTTTGCGAAATTGTAATATCATGAAGTAACCAGTTCATAAACTTTAGTTGAATAAATATTAATTGTTAAATATGTAAAACAGCCATAAAAATCAATTGCTGGTCTATTCAACTGTAAAATAATATAAATTAAGACATAAGCGTATTAAATTATTTAAGTATATAAAGTGTATGTTATCCTACTTTATCTAATACCTACCCTCTAAAATTTCCAAAAACAGAAACATAGGAATTTATGAAATGCGATTGAAACTATATATTCACAAATACTAAATATTTTGGAAGATATTAATGGCACTTCGCACGTTCGGATGACTATTTGCATTATTCTTTCGAGTATAAATAATTCTAGGAAATTAAAATATATTTATCTACAAAAAATCTTCTGTAGATGTTACTGTAGCTTCTATAAGCAAACCAAAATCTAACTCGGCTAGACTAGCTGTAAAATAAAATTAATTTAATTTAAAATTTGCACAGTCCAGTAATAGTAATTTTTTCGTACCTTTAGCTGTAAGAAGATCAAGGAATGTATCTAGTGGAGATAAACGATCAGCCGAAGGAAATGCCGCTAAACCTGCGTACAGTTTACGTGATAAAAAATAGTTGAAAATATTTGGCTTTTTATTTTTTATTAATATTAATATTTATTCCATGTTAATTCTATATTAATTATTTATTATTTACCATTATGATGATTTCTGTATTGTAATGTCCTACCACGGTTTTGACACACTTCACCAGATAAAATATTCGCAGCATGTTCACGAGCTCTTATCATAAAACTTACGGGGTGTAACCATTGATTTAAAAGTCTTTTCGCACGTGATTTGGGTAGCAAAGATAACAAAGTTAATTTACGAATGGCGTTTTCTTTTGTATCACTAATATCTGTAAACATATTAAGTGAAAATTATTCTGATATTGAAAATTAAGGTAATAATAAATTTTAGTTTTAAAGAATATACCAGCCATAATAATTTTGCTAACATCGACTTGTAATTCGAACACTGATCGTTGTACATATTGTAAAAACATTGAATACTTTAATGTTCTATATCCAAGATAAGTAAAAAACGATGTGAATCCTTGTGGTGCTGGGAATGCTATGCTTTCTATTGCGCGTCTATAGCGCTCCAACAATACGAATAATAACCACCGTCTTACTTCGTCTAATTGATCACTGAAATTATATTTCAGTTTAAATTTTGTTGCAACGCATTCATGATTATTCATGAATAATTTACTTACACAAGAATAAAGCCACGTTCTTGTTCAATTCGTGGATCGATACTAGCCGCTCGACATAACATTTGACAAAGAGTCCGCGATGTCTCTAATTGCGCTGCCACATGTCTAGTTGCCATTGCGTGAACGTGTAAAGGAGTACACAATCCCTTAAGATGCGTTATTGATGTCTGGGTGCCATGTTTCAATAGATAAACGGACAATTCCCGTAAATTTACAGATACAATATGCTCCTGCTTAGACGCAGTACAACTTTCTGTTTCATTAAATGGCAAATTGGAGTCCATGAGTTTATTGCTTCGGCCACTTGTTAAATCTCCAAGTGATACTGTAGCCACAACTAGTCTACAATATCGTTTATAAAAATTAATTTTAATAAAAAAATATTATACTGTAATTACAAGGAAATTGCTGAAATCATAGTATACATTTATTTAAAGAGGCATGCAAATTATATTATTCACAAACATTTATGCAATTAAACGGGTTAAGTGAAAATTTGTCTAAAATGTTACCCTCCACTTGGAGACATTGGAGTACTGGACCTGGATAATGCTTCAGGTTGATAACATGCTAAAGAAACTAATAACTTTTCTGCAATTTTGCTTGGCTTGAATCTTATTTTATCACCATTATTTTTGCTAAGTTGATCCCACAATCGAGTCCACAAATCACTGCGATAAGGAATCAATCTTTGTTGTGGTGAGAGTAACATTACCGATGTATTCCAAAGCTTCTCGTGACTCAATGTTATGCTTAAATCATTCACTTTGATCTCGAAACTTATGTATTCTTCCATGGTCGTAACAGGCAGCAAAGCCAATAAAGGTATAGCATCTGCTAATAAATTTTTTTGTACTAAAGCGTATGAACCACCGATAAGAATTTCTTGCATATACCGTACGAATTCTAATGATCTAGGTTTTTCTGCAATCGTACATACTAATTCTGAAATAATATCCAGATCATTTCTATGGCAAAGAAAATAGTGAAGTATGCCCAAGCGTACTTCTGTCGAATTTTCTTTACGAAATACTTCGGTAAGGAAGTTAGATGAAATTGTTAATTGTACTAAATCCAGTGTTGGTAAGTCTATTGTTAGTATGTTCATATTATATTGAGATGCATTGCTTCCTTCCAAAGAAGCTGTGTCATACTTCTTTTTGCTTCCTTTGGCGTTAGTTTCTAATTCAAGCAATGGTACCAAATAAGAAGAACGAGATGGAATAGAAGTTAGAGGACCACATAATATGTGGCAACATGGTTCATGATTAGTTCCAATTTCCAGAAGATGAGTAAACAATCCCGGTACAAGAACAATCATGTGATGATGTTCGTATATTGCAAACGTTGGTCGTATAAGTTTAGCATGAGACCATGGTATGCCAGGTATAACACAATGGATCACACAGCTGTGATGAAGAAGCGTTACAGAATATGCAAAGTGTACTGTATTAGATTCACTCAATGAATTAAGTATATGCTGCTGTGGTTTTACTGGACGATATAAGTAATGATGACAAACACAGACCATTCCTTTAGAGTCAGAAACTACAATAAGATCTAATGAACAATCATGAACTCTTAAAGGTATAACATCATCCTCATAAGTTCCACAGTTGGAAGAAGTTGATAATTGAGGTAAATTCAATGGTATGTTTAGCTGAGAAGAAAGAAATAAATTGTTTAAAATATATTGGAATTATTATTAGATTGCACACACAATTAGTTACTTACCACTGTCTCATGTGGTAATTCATCATGAAATTGAAGACCGCTGAGTGTTGGATTAGTTCTTTCTAATTTATTCTCTTTTTCTTCCTCATCTTCAGAAACTAAACTTAGTGGAATTTTTTTATGGTGTATATGATATAAAACCTGATTTATCATGTCCCACTGAGCCCAAATGAATGCTTTTACTAATGATTCAGATTTTAACTCTTGTATTGAATAAACATCTGATACAGATGTATCAAAGATTATAGTATATATTATAATACCTGCATTAAACAATAAAGTTATTTTGATAGTAATTTTTAAGAACCACAAATGTAATTATATATTATATAATTCTTACATTCTTGATGGATTAATAATAAAAATTTATCCCATTGTCCATGTTCTTTTTCCTTATATAAAAATTGAATTCTCACTTGTTTAGATTTCTTTGTGTCCAAAGTATGTATTTTTACTTCTTGTCCTTTCAGTTCAACAATAGATGCTTCATACATTTCAATTTCAGCTGATATACTCTGATTTTCATCTTCTGTAGATTCTGAATTTGCATTTGTTTCTACAGGAACTTTTTGTTTTGTTACATATCCAAAAACGGTATAATTTTGATTTATTGTTGCTTGTACAATATTTAGTACCTCTGAGAATTGGTGTAATACCTATATCATATTGCTTCTCATTTTAATTGTGCATTACATTATATAGAAAGGCTTGGCTCATAGATTGACATACCTGTAATTTATCATTAATCCGGTTGTAGTGGCCTACAACTGTATATGATACGTTTACATCGTCTTTTACAGTCTCTTCTGTCCATCCAACTAATAGAGATCCATCTTTCTCTTGACCCAGTAATTTCCATTGTTCGGCTAAAAAACAAATTTTTATTTTATAGATATTTCATTGTTACCATATTATAACATATATACAAATATATACAAATTTACATTGTAACTTTTTATCTAGATCTTACATAGAATTTTTAAAAATTTTACAAAAAAAATTTCACAAATAGCTGTAACATTATTTAAGAATTGTAACAATTACCTGAGTGCGCTTTTTCCGGCAGAAGTAAACATAATTTTGCTGCAAGATTTTCTATCATATTCTATTTATAAATTTCCTCTAATGAGTAATATCCTATAATATTTTAGTTTAAGACGACCAATTGTTTTTAATTTGATGGATAGCCGTATGTTTATTTTAACATTATCAAACGTATCGTCTGCTACTATTATGGCTACACTGTCATACGTATATTGATTTGACGTTGATTCATTATCATGAATCTGTGTTGCATTACATTTTTGTTAGCGCCACCTTTGTTACGAATATATTCATTCAATAGATAGGCAAACACGTAAAAGTATTTACTTATTATTTGTTTACTGATAAGAACATATCATTTATACGTTAACACTAATACATCAAGGAGTAAGTAAAATAATTGCATAGAATGAATACTTGTATTACACAACATTAGTTCAACTCTTAATTAGTCATTATAGAGAAGGACAAAAAACGGCAAAAAAAATTAGTAAGACGAGATTTCCTATAAAAAAGTGAGTCATTAGTGTGGTAAACACGGCTGTAAAAGCAAGTTTGTTGAAAATGGTCACTGGACGAGCGCTTCATTTTGTATTTAAAATACCAGATAGAAAATTAACTTGCAAATTTTATCGAGAAATTCTTGGGATGAAGGTTAGTAGTTTCATAATTCAAATTGGTATCCTTTCACAGAAGTTTTTTTTAACAGGTGTTACGACACGAGGAATTTTCCGAAGGTTGTGAAGCAGCCTGTAATGGGTTTGTAATATGTTGTGTTTCTTCTTTTATTGTCATATATTATATGTGTAAATAGTTTAACAAACATCTTATGTTTGTTATATAGACCATATGCAAATAGATGGAGTAAAACCATGATAGGATATGGAACAGAAGATACTCACTTTGTGATAGAATTAACTTATAATTATGGGATCAAAGAATACAAAGTGGGAAATGATTTTGGTGGTATTACAATTCGGTCTAGAGAAGCACTTCAAAGAGCACGAGCTGATGGATGGCCACTGCAAGAAGAAAATGGAAAGTTTGTTTTACAAGCACCTGGCGGTTATAAGTATTATATTATTGATGAACCTCAACCTGTAAATAAAGGTATCAATGCAGATCTATTCTAATACATATTTATTCTAAAATAGCATATTAATCTAACTAAAAGTATATTTCTCCAACAGATCCTGTAGAAAAAATAACGTTGTCTAGTTCAAATATTCAAAAATCTATTGCCTATTGGAAGGATATCTTAGAATTAAAAGTATTTGATCAATCTGAGAAGAGTGTACTATTAGGATACAATGAAGATCAAACAAAGATCGAATTTAAAGACATTGGTAATGATTTCATAATGTTGTGTAATACCTACTTTGATAATAGAGATTGCTCCAATGATAAAACATATCTTTCTGTTTGATTAGGTTCTGAAATTGATCATGCTACAGCTTATGGACGTATAGCATTCTCAATTCCTCATACAGAACAACCGGAAATTCAAAAGAAAATAAAAAATAGTGGGCATAAAATATTGACCGATTTAATCACTTTAGATACTCCAGGAAAAGCTTCTGTGAGGGTCATTATTCTTGCTGATCCAGTAAGGACATTTCAAATATTTTATTTTTAAATACAACACAATATTAATAAAAACATATTAATAATAATAATTATTATCTTTAGGATGGTCATGAGATTTGCTTTGTAGATGATGAAGCATATCGCCAATTATCAGTTCCAGATTATCCCAGTGAAGCAATTTTGGATAGATATATTAAAAAAGAAGGATAAATCATTAAACATTGATGTTTTTAAAAGGCAATATTTTATCTCAGTATTACTTTAATAATTTAGAAAAAAAATGTACTATATATCAGAAGTGACGAACTGGTAACCTACATCATACATGACCTTTACCCCGCAGACTCATATGAAAACGACTCCCTCCATTTTAATTTTATGCAATGAAAAAAACTGGAGCATAAAAATGCAGTTCATATGACCCACAGTGGGGAAGAAGTTTCTTATTCCTGATATATACTATAACAATCAATATGAATTTTTTTTTGAATTCGTAACTTTACTATTGATATTGTAAATATATTAGTACATTACTAATTTCAAAGTACGAAGGAGTTTATAAAGCTATTTTGTAATTTAATATTTCTATAAAAAACATATATTTTGGTGAAGGTTGTTAATAAGATCAAATAAAAGCTTGTTAAAGAAATGTTGTTCTCATTGCTGGAGATACCCATATCTCTTCGAGGTCATTAGCAATGACCTTTTATTATGCAGTATGATTTTAAGGAAAAGTCCATAGATAATATTGTAAGATAACGTACTTACGAGGAAATTTTCGATAAATACGAGTTTGAAATATTCGTTATTTAAGCGTGCTAATGATATCAATTTGTTATTAACAGTTCATTAGTGCCATAACATCACGTACAATGATAATGAAATTGAAGACGTGTTTTCTTATATTTATTTATGTATTCTTTATAATCAGTAAGTATAATCAGATTATTTTTTTACAGAATATTTTTATTAATATATTTCTTTTTCGTAGATAGTACTAACGCAAAATATAGGGCTACAAGTTCTAGTAGAGGAAGATCTTATGGAACATTATATCGATCTTCGCATAGAGCATCACATGGAACATCGCATGGAACGTCATATGGATCTTTACATAGATCTCCACATAATGGAATCTCGCATGAAACGTCCTCACATGGATTTCCACATACTGGAAACCACGGAGTTGGAGGCTATGAATTATCTCATAGTAAACCTTCTACAGGCAGTTTCCCTGGTAATTTAATGCGTTGTATAATTTGAATATAGTATCAAGCGTAAGATAATATTTCATTCTTTGTTCATAATCTTAGGATCTCAAAATAAAAATATTAATACAGATCTTATAAAAGCTGAGGGTGGGGGAGCTACACGACCAGGTAAAGTATTATTGTACATATTAAATGGATATATTAAATATGAAATAAAAATTATGAAATGTACATTTTTTAATAAGTTCAAACAAAGCCTTCTGGACCATTATATTCTCCTTCTGTTATGCCTGATGCTGTTGTATCAAAACCAAAAGTTGCAACAGAAAACAAACAGACTTCACCTTATCATCCATCTGCGCCCCAGGAATCTATTATGAAATCTTCTGCTGACACACTTCAAGGTATAGATAATATAAAAAATTGATATGGTTACTATTTATCATTTAAAGCATAATATTATAATATAATATAGGTCATTCAACAAATCCAGCCTGGAGCAATCCTTATTATAACAATAAAGCAACAGTATCAACTGAAACACATTCTCGATGGAGCAATCCTTATTCAGAAACTAATAGACCATCTGTTCTAAATTCTCAACCAGCTGCATCAGGTGGTCAACCATTTCCAATTGGTTTCAAAGATTATCCACAGACTCGTCCAACTGTTGGTACTCAATATAATCCATCTGCAAATGGACATCCCCCTTATCCTATACATCCTGTGCCTTCAAATTCTATCTCTGCTCCACATTATCCAACAAATTCAATGCCATTAGGGAATCCTTATTCTACACACACTTCACCATTCCATTCAACAAATTCAATGCCATTAGGGAATCCTTATTCTACACACTCCTCCCCATTCCATCCAACAAATTCAATGCCATTAGGAAATCCTTATTCTACACACCCCTCTGGACCTGCCTTTAATATACCTGGACAATCTCCTTCTTATTATCCACAGCAAACACACACATTTGCACAACCTGCTGTACAGCCTTTCGTACCTGGTCAAACTATTGTAATGATGCCTGGACAACAAGACTCTGGGCGAGGTTTGGGCCAAATGGTCAAGGAAGCGCTTGTTTTTTCAACTATTAATGCGGGAGTAAATAGATTAATAAATCCTCATACTCATCATTACGAAAGCAAACCTGTTGATCCTGCTTCAGCAGCACCTACAACTCATATTACTTATAACAATCAATATTTCAATACTGCACCTAATGACAATGACAAAATGAATTCCACAAATGTATCACAAGCAAATGGGCTTTCTTCTCCAATAGCGCCTACTTCAAATGTAGGAGGTAATATTCCTTTATCACAAAACATACCAAACACATCCAATATTCCTAGTTTAAGTTTAGCTGGAAGTGGAACATCTATTATTGGATCACGTGTAAATGAGAATATAACAACTTCTCCAACTGAAGCCAAAATGACAAGTGGCCAAAATAATGTACCTAATAATCCTGCTAGCATAGGTAACTCATTTTATAGGATCTCGGACGATGAACTTTCTAAAATATCAGAAGAACTATTTGCAAAAAATTCGCATAATATGTACAAGTACATAAAAATGAATCTACAGACCCGAGTTACGTCTTCTAACATAACAACGGATGAAGCCACAGAACCGTATGTATCCTAATTATTACTTTCTAAATAATTTGAGTAATTGGTTTTATTTATCAATCTTTTTTTCTAGATTGTTCGAAGTAGATCCAGAATTATTAGACTATCCATCAATATATATAACGCGATCTCTATATGATAACTACGGGCATGATTCCCGCAAGAAATTAAATCGCACTTTAGAAATAAGAAAAGAGGAGAATCTTCTAATCGATATCTTTTTAAATACAAACGAGATGTCAAGAGCTATGCAATGGCTAGCTGATCATGGATTCATCGATCCGGACGATTTTGAAAGAAAAGACGTACTCCGTCGAATTTGGTTCACTGTATTTAGTGGAAGTACATGCGGATTCGAACGTGTGTTTGCATCTGAAAATTATGGTACAGCCATTATTGGTGTACAAGATTGGATTTATTTCGAATACCAAGAATCTTTGAAACGCATAGATTATATGGGCTATATAGATAAACTAGATCTTGGAAGTGTAAGCGATTTAAAAAATACTAAAGAATTATTCCTATTTAAACAATATTGTATTGTTATTTAATATAATTATTTTTTCAGACTGCTTCATTGATAAAATTAAATTTCCAAATGGATGGAATCGTTAGACCAAACGCAACAATATTTGTAGGTACTTTACCTGAGCTAGAGATGGCTTTGTACACGATATGCTTTTATGCAAGACCAAACAATCTCTGTCCTGTTTCTCTCGGTGGCACCAAGTTTAATATCTATACGCATTCGTTTACATATTTCGGAACTGAAATTATAGACCTTGCTCTTCCAATGTTCTAATATAAATATTTTATCTATAGTAGTTATATATATGTAGAATTTAATATAATGTGAACTACATTGTTCTATACATGTAAACAATATAATTATCAGCAATAAAAATGATTAAAAAAATAATATTTTATGACACATTTATTAATTTATTGACAATAGCAAATGATCTGAAAGTAAATAATATGAAGAACTTATCATTGTAAGTAGAAAATTGAAATTAAATTTATATAATTTTATATTATATTATATTTCATATTATATTTTTATTTTATTTTCGTCTGGATCTTTCTTCTAATTTTTTAAATTAATTTTCAGATCTTCTTATATGGTGCAACTTCAAAACTCCAAAATTCAATTTTTCCTGAAAGAATACAAGAATTACAAGTCAACGTCATAAAGGAGATCTGTATAAGATAAAAAATAAAGAGCCATTAAGTATTCATGAGGTGCAACGTCTTTATGGTTAAAAGTCAGGGACGTGTTATTACCTTGCTCATTGCCAGATTATTCTATTAGATCCCTACTACTTGTGAACGTATCAAAGATTAATGAAAGAGGAGAAAGCTTACGAGTCACACTGCAATTTCAAATTGGTTTCAGTGCGGCTAGTATGCATCGATTCACGGGAAGTCTTAGTAACGAGTAAACCGCCGAGCAGCGTGCATCGATCATTTTACAGAGAGATTCTTGATCGTGTCACCGATTTTTAAATTGCAAAACGACAGCTGAGGAAGTTAAATAACAAGAAATATGAACATCAAGCTAATCCTGATTTGCACAATTCTCGTTTTGTTCGTGTTTGGTAAGCAAGTTTCCTTGTAAATTTAACCAGTTTAAAACAAGAAAAAAATATCGTTTTTCCTTTGGTGAACGTTTCAACTATGTGGCAATAGATTTACTGGATTTTGCCTTGATGCAATATTTTATGAATCGAGCTACAATATATTATGAGGATTTTTATTACAGAATATAATTTATAGACTTGTAAAAGCTTTTTAACAAGAATTGCACGCACGTAAAATTCCTGTTTATCTACTCCAATATTCTAAACGATTAAGCGAAGCGATAAAATTCTAGAGAAGACAATAGTTCACATTTATTCGAGAATAAAGTAGTCTATGAATGTAATAATTGATTGATATCACGAGATGACATCATAAAACTGCAACCAAACAGATCATAACTTCACCGAGAGTAAATTACTGTTGCTCGAGCATGCATCAATGCACGTGAGCATTATTCACTTGTCTGTTGAATGGGTTTGAAAAGAACTCGCAAAAGTGTCTTCTAGAAAGTCTCTCAACCAGATGACCGAGGCCGGCAATGAGTCACTCTAATAAATTACAAGCAATTCCACGAAAGGTGTTATTCGTTCCGCTGTTGTGGTCATAAAAATTTAATTAAGTTCCGTGAAATTTACTAAGACATTGGTTTCCGTGTATAATTAGTCCGACGTTCAATAATCAACTTCAAATATTTACTTTACTCTTCCAAAGTTCTATTTCAGTATTAAATCAACAAGATTATCCTAGAACAATATACAAAGAAATTAAATATTGGAATTTTAAAAACAATACTATTTTTTTATTTTTAAAAAGGGCTTAACTCATAGCATAGGAGAGCTATTAACTATTATTTCAATACTGAAAACATTCAAATAGATTTAATCAGAAATAATCAGGCCCGCGTGTTAACGATATATCATTACTTTATTTAGCGAATTGCTAAATTGTTAGGGACCGTATGAAATAATTCATCATAGAGTGATAGAGAAGTTCAACAAGTGGTGGGTGGAATATTATGAATCGTATAATATACTCGAGCACGCAGCACTTGTTATTAATAAAATTGAAATATTATTGTATAAGAGTCCTCTCGAACTCTTTGACGCAGTATATTCCATTTAACCAATGGTAAATTCCACAGGCAATACTTTAAATTTTGATGATCGCATCGCATTCTGTTCGCACAGATCATAATCGTTTGAATACGTAATCTCTGCTAAGACTCTATTCAAGTATTTTATTCTTCGTTTCACGCTTCGTTGCTTTTATAGCGGCTAATTCGTTCACACTATTATACTATGTGTACGATTTACCGACAATGTTCATACTACGTCGCACATAAATCCTCGCCAATTTTCACAGTTGACATTGGAGATGCAAAATCGAGTAGACGGCGAACCGGAAGTGGATGGGGGGGCTCTGTGTTCCGCTCGAGGTCAACACCTCGTCCTCGCACTTCTCAGACCTCTCACAGCACGTATCAACAGAGTAGTCAAGGTAATTTTCGTATCAGAATATTCGACAATACTAAGCCTCCTTTGTGCTTTGCAATGGAATTATTTACCTCTCTATAGTAACATACGATCAATTATCGATTAATTGCCCACGTATTAAATTTTCTTTTAAGTGATCAATTACTTGCCAGTAGAAATTGGCAATTGAAATTATTATCTATTTGATGATCATAGATTACTGACTATTTTTTCATATAGGAGGTTCTAGTCCTGATAAAATAGGGTGGAACGTTGCAGATAAAAAGCCAACAAGCGGAACCAATACCAATACTGGGCCTAAACCTTCTGCTCCTGTATCTGAACACAATGCTAAAACCAGCGCGACTAATGTGCAATCTGGATACAATCCTTCAGGTAGTTGATATTGTAATCAGACATCAATGTAACATTATACGAGGTGTTTAATCGACAATAATTTCTAGGTGGATATCCTCGTCAACCAGCCAGCAATCCTTATCACACAAATTCCAATCCTAATCAACCCTACAATCCATCAGCCGGGCAAGGTTACAATCCATCAGTTGGAGGGTACAATCCTTCACTAGGTCATGGTTACAATCCAGCATCTGGTCAAGGCTATTACAATCCTGGAGGAGGAGTACATCCACCACCTTATGGAGCACAGCCATCTTATGGTGGATACAATCCAGGCTTTGGACAGCCGTCTTTTGGACAGTCTTTTAGTCCGTCCATGGGACAAATGCCACAGCAGACGATTCTCTTACAGCAAGCGGCGAAGCCTGGTATAGGGCAATTAGCAAAAGAAGCGTTTGTCTTTGCTGGTGTGAGCGCTGGAGTAAACGCGGCTGTGAACAGATTAATACCAGGAGGAATCTATGGCACCAGAGGCACTGGAAGTGGAGGTGGTGCCTCTCACACTGAAATTACCTATAATAATTACTATAATAATGGAACTGCTCCTGCTCCGGCTCCAAATTCTGATCAACCGGCAGCTGCCGCAGCTCCTGCGGCTCAACCAGCAACTAATTCTCAGTCTCAACCAACTCAATCAGCCGTTCAACCTGCTGCTGAAGCATCGCAAGCTTCACAGAATAATGCTGGTACCAACGCGTCACCGAATAATCCAAAGTCTCAAGAATCAACGCAGAACAATCCTAATCCTTTGGGATTCGTCACTTCTAACGATGATATCAAAAAGCTGACAGAAGGTCTATTCGAAAAAGAGAAGAACAGTGCTTTGAAATACATAACGATTAATTTGCAAGGCCAGAAGAAAGATGACAGCACCAGTGACGATGCCTCTGAACCGTGAGTACCGATTCGCTTCGAATTTCTAGAATCGAAAAGTAAATTATGAACTGTTCTTATAATTCCATGTTCCACGTATTATTTCAGGTTGTTGACTGTGAAAGACGAAGCTTATGAGATTCCGACTGTGAAATCTGTGATAGCCTTACACGATAACTATGAACTTGACGTTAAAACGAAGGAGACAATAACGCCAGAAGAGCGAAAAGAGGAATCGGACCTTCTTGACAAGGTCCTTGAAACAGACGTGATGAAAGCGACTATGAAATTCTTAGTCGATAAAGGATATATCGAGGACGATGAATATGAGTTTAAAGATACTATGAAACGTATATGGTCCTCTCAATTCAAACGAATTGATGGAGACGCGTCGAGTTCTGGTTTCGAAACTGTATTCCTGGCTGAACAGTTTGATTCGGATATAATTGGGCTGCATAATTGGATCTACTACGCGAAGCAAGAAGCGGACAAGAAGCTCAATTATCTTGGATATATCAAGGAAGTCAAACTGGGCGATGTAAGTGACATGCAATGCGTATAACAAACAAAATGGTCCATAGCAATATGTTAATATTCGTTGCGCTATATTTTTACAGAAAGGAGCAGTTTTGAAAGTACGTTCATCGCTAAATGGAATAGTGCAACCAGTTACGACCCTTTTTGTCGGTACATCACCAGAATTGGAATTAGCTTTGTACACGATGTGCTTCTTTACTCGGCCTAACAACGCTTGCCCAATTTCTTTCGGAGGAACCGAGTTTGTGATTTTTGTTAGCAGAATCAATTACTTTGGAAAAGATATTTTAATTTCAGCATATCCTGACATATAATTTTGTTAAAACAAAATCTGAATTTATAATGTCATAACAGATTTCACTTTAGTGATTTCATTGCAAAGAATAATTGAAACAATTGCTAAAATATAAGGAATTTAAATTGCTTCATGTAAATGAATTTATAAATAAGTTTTTTCTTAATTAATATATATGGTGTATGAAAGATCTGTTACGTACACGATTGATTTTCTTATGACGTTTTTCTAAGTCCGTTAATTCCATTAGAGGCACTATGGATGGCCGTCCATGAGCACATTGAGTAGGTATCTTCGTCTCATTTAATAATTTCAAAAGCCATTTACATTCTTTTAATGTTAGTGGATCTCCGAATTTTATGGCTCCTAAAATACTCTTTATTAGATAGTATTGAATATAATGTTATAATGTACAAAAAGATGAGATTGTTATTCTATTAATATTTTCTGCTGAAAAATATATACTCTATCTATTTATATTTTAAATGTTGTATTTTAAATGTGTTTTTTATTTGTTAAATTATTGACTAACAATAAGATTACAGACAGGAAAGAAGAAAGAACTTACCATGACAAGCTTCCGTTGCAATTGCATTTTGAATAGTAAGTGGTAAATTGTTGATTGGATCAATGTTATTATTATAATGTGAAAAATTTTGTAGCAATTCATTTAAAAGATTTTTTACATTTAATTTTAATCTTAATTCATCATAATGATATTTATTCTTCCTTAAACATTCTGGCACTGCACGTATCATTAGAATATTATTTTCTATCACATTAAAAGTTATACCAAACTTTTTTAGTATCATATTATTAGACAAAAGTAAATTGCAGCTATCTGCAGGAAATTGTATAACTATAGGATTTTTCAATTTGATGGAGAATAGTTGATTTCTTATCTGTATCTTGTATCCTAAAAATCAGTTGCATAATCAAAATTATTATACCTCTGTTGTTTGTTTTTATATAAGACTGTTATGAAGTTTTACCATTAAGTAAATGTTCATATCTAATTCTTTCATGAATTGCATGTTGATCCATTAATAAAAGTATTTTTACATTATTATGAATTATTAATCCTACTATTAATTCATTGTTTATTTGTCCTAATATCTGAGAAAAGAGAGACGACTGTAATTTCAGTTTTCTTATTGTAATTATAACTACTTACTTTAATAAGTTTCAACAGATCCTTATTTAATGTGAATTTATGGAATCGTAAGACAGTTTTACATGGGCGCACGTCAAGTTCTTGATGAGGTATTATATCTGGGACTTATTATGCAATGTATCATAAATAATTTCATACTTTAATTCTCTAATTAAATTAAAAATGCTTACTCTGCAATCCAGATTTCAATTTGGTTGAACATGTACTTCCATTATATTCATTTAAAACTTCAGTTTTTGTCAGCTTTGTGTTTCCACGTAATAATTTATGTAATTTTTGTGGCAAAAAATCAAAATATTTATAAAACTTGAGAGAATCATTTTCTAATTGCTTCAAGCTCCAATTAGACCATTCAGAAAGGGTTAGTTGCATACTTTCTTTACCATTGTTATCATGTTTTAAAGCAGGTGTAAATAATTGCACTGAGTCATTTGGGATCAATTGTATCTCTTTGCTTTCAAAGCTCTGTTCTGTAGATCTGTTGCTATTTCTTGAACCAATATCAGATAGAGGTTTAATGTTTTTTGTAAAAATATTCAGTATCTTCTTTCTAATGATTTGCAACAGATCTTGTATGTTAGAAAACATTAAAGTTCTCCTTCCGTTCTCTATAGTAAAAATGTAATTGCTACACATGATAAACATCAAAATGAAAACTGCTGCCTTTTCCGATATAAATTCATAATGTTGTTTTCTGAAGAACTTTAATATATCTATGAAAGTAGCTGAAACTACTTCTAAGATTAAGGGACAATGAACGAGTTTATCATTTACAAAAATATACTGAGAAGCAGCAGTTTCAGATTCAGCTAATCCAATGTATGCGCAGAATTTAATATTGGACTTTTTCGTACACTTTGTATACCATACTTTATGAAGTGATACTTCCTGACTATATAAGGATTTGAAAACGTCTAATGGTTTGTGTGGCTTAGCGATTATCATGGTAACTTTCTTTTTTTGATCATCTCTAATGGTGAATGAAGTCTGTGAATATAAAATGTCTTTCAATATGGACTATATAAGAATCCATTAATGCATTGCTAAATGTTCATTTACATGCGGATTTGCTATGGCAATGTTTCCAACCAAATGATACATAAAAGGAACATTCCATTTATTTAAGGATAATTCATGGAATCCGTAAATGCTTATTGTAGTGCCTTGAGAAGGTCTTCTCTCGATTCTGACAATCTTTGGCTTACGGTTCACTTTGAAAATCTACGAACAACTTGTCAGTTTATATTTTTAAATGGATAACTTGATTATGAAGATTGTGTACCTTCATAAATGTCTTCTGAGAATTGTAATATCTAGATGTTATTAACATAGCGTTAGATAGTCTACGAATGTTACCGAGTGTCCGTTTCCTCCAGCTACACAAATCGTGTATACTTGGACAATTTAAAATGCTTTCATTATTATATTCTGCCATCGGTTTCAGTTGTATTTTTGGTATTCCTGTACCATTATCTATCACTTGAATTTTTCGCTGTTCATTATGAAATCGTATTGCAATTGATGTAGCATTAGCGCTCAAAGAATTTGATATCTGTCGAGAAAACGTTATAAAAGTATCGAAAGGATATCATGCGAAATGTAAATGTTTATGTTCGCTTAAACAATATAAAATATACCAGCTCCAAGACGCATTCTGCAATACTTGTTACATTGGTCGTGGCAATAATTGACGCTTCCATGTTAACATTTTCAACAACGTTGGGTCATGCTAAAATAACGAAGCTTTTTACGCGCCGTTGTCTCCCTCTACTAGCGACATCAGAAAAAGAAGAGTATAGAGTATCAATTTCTCGATCTACCACCTGTTACATACTAGATATTTCGCTAATGTCATATTTAGACAAATTTCGAAATAATTTCTTTTAAATACAATATTAAAAAAAAGAGAAAATCAAAGTACAAAGTGAATAAAACTCTTTCTTTATTTAGTTTAATACCATCCCTTAAAGTGCTTAAAAAATCTTGTAATTTAAAACTTTGAAGAACGCGCGCTAAAATTCAATTATTAAGTCTGTCCTTATTGCTCACTAGGTTATCCTTGTCTATCGCGCGAATGTTTCTATCCTTGTTCCACGCTATCGCTCTCCTTGTTTACCGCTCGTATATGTCTGTCCTTGTCCCACGCTATCGCTCTTCTTATTACCGCTCGTATATGTCTGTCCTTGTCCAACGCTATCGCCCTCCTTGTCTATCGCGCGTATTTGTCTGTCCTTGTCGCACGCTGTTGCTCTCCTTGTCTATCGTGCATGTATGTCTGTCCTTGTCGCACGCTACTGCTCTCCTTGTCTAATGGCGACAGACAAGGAAAGCAACAGTGTGCGACAAGGACATTCTTCGATCTATTGAAAAAAAATTCAACTTTTCACACACACGTTTTTCTAGGACCAAACGCACGTAGAAAGAAAGCGGGGAGCCTAATTTTAAGGAGGCATATAAAAAAGTTGCAAATTATTCCTCCAAATTAGGTTTTTTTCTTAATTAATGCGAACTGTCACAAAATGGACATGGTGGCGCCATCTAGCGGCAGCTCAGTGGTACTAATTATTTATAAAAATACTTATTTCTGCATTTTACGGGTCAAATGGGGTATGAAAAGAAAGCTAAGGGCCTCATTAGGGTAATACAATCACCAAAGTTGATAATTCATTTCGCTAAATTAGGTTTTTTCGCAAATAAAAATTTCTCTATTTTACGGGTTAAGAAACACTAGCGTCGCCATCTATTGTTAACTCGGTGGTACTAAAAACAGAATTTTTTACTTTTAGTACCACCGAGTTGACAATAGATGGCGCCACTGTCGCCTCTAATGTAGCGACCTATAGTTCCTCGAGTACGAGTTTCGAACACCAACTTGCACAAGCCGCAAGTGGCTGTGCGCCTAGCGTCGAAGTCAACCGATATTCGATGTTAAGCAAACAGAGTGCGGAACCGCTAGGATGGGTG